ATTCACTTCTTCTCAGAGCACGCCTAGACATTGGCATGAACGTGTCAGGTCTCCCCAAGAGAGCGATTCTTTGCAGGGATCTCGGGATTTTCCCCTTTTGGCAAAATGGAATGAAGATAGAGTTCGATGGGTCCTTTAACTTCATCATGCTTACCTTCTAGAACTTTCTCGAAAGCCAGGTCCAAATATCGTCAGAGGTCGCTATTAGCTGACTCAGAGCAAGCTCTGGGTCGTTACCGGCGAAAACCACGAGGAGGTTGCGACTTGAACAGCGACTAACTAAACTCGATCTCAAGGATCATCACCCACAAGTGAGTTAATTTTTTTACCAGCACAACAAGTAACAATAACAACAAACAAGCAACCGACCAATGAACAAATTTGCACACTTCAAAGGGCAGTGCTTGCCAAAAACAATAGACACACCAGCAAGCTTAGTCACATTTTGCATCTCCAGTTAAGCCTGGTCATTTAGCAAAGGTCTTTAACATGAAATGTTTTTGTTAAAGCTTGAGAGGGGCCTGTTCAAGCTTCGATAGTAACAGCTTTACATCCTTGTCCGGATATTCAATCCTTCCGTTTGGAGTGCAAGAGACCCCCAGGTACTTAAAGGTTGTCCCGAGGCCAGCTCTAGGAATGTTCTTTCCTAGTACCTGTACGTTTTTTCTGGAGTCGAATACTGCCCTTTTTAAATGCCCGTCTCCTTTCCATGCAGAGAAGAGGGATTTGGCAATATTGATCTTCAATCCATAACTGGTGACGGCCGGAAGGATGGATGACAGCATACGTTGCAGTGCTACTTGATCTTGCCCAATTAAAATTAGATCGTCAGCATATGCGATGTAAGAAAGTTTCTCAACATCAATAGTAATGCCAAGTTTAGTGTCAATTCCAGAAAGGATGTCATCCATAACACAGAGGAAGAGAAATGATGAGAGCGGGGCCCCCTGGCGGACTCCTCTTGTCGGATGGGTTGGCTCCGATTTCTTCCTCCTCAGGTGTAGGGTGGTCTTAGCATTTGAGTAGATATTAGAGACGTATTCAATGAAATCCTCTCCAATCCCTTTAAGTCTTAGAGCGTTCGTGATGGATTCTTTAGTGATGGAATCGAATGACTTTTCAAAATCTAAGAAGGCGCAGGCGATTGATCTAAAGTGCTTCTTGGCATGATGGAATACTTTATCCAGGGCACCAACCCCCTTAGCGATGCCATCAAATTTCTGGAATCCGAATTGTTTTGGGCTATGACAAATTGATTGGTTAAGTCTCGTAGCAAGTATCTTGTAATGCTGCTTCAGCATCATGGAGGCGATGGAGATTGGTCGCAATTTGCTTGGCTCTGATATGTCAGCACCTTTTGAGATGAGGATTGTCTTGGAGTTCAAGATGATTGGAGGCACCAAGGCAAGCTTATTCAGAAGGGTGTAGAACTTACATTTTTCTCGAGTTGAGATTTTATTCAGTATTTTCGAAGTGATGCCATCCAGCCCTGGTGACGATTGCCAAGGCATCTTCGCTAGGTCCATTTCCTCTGGGGTAACAGGGTCCAAGAGATGCAGATTCGGATTATCTTGGTTCAAGAGGACTGGAACAGCCGGTTCACTGATTACCGCATCGAGTGGGACCTTGGTAAGAAGATTTCTCCAATAGTCAAAAGTTGACTCATGCGTAAGGTTGTCTGAGATCGAAGTCTGGTTGAAGATTCGATTGGCTGCTGATTTCCTGTTCTTGCTGTACAGGTTCTGCAGGAACTTGTATTCACTTCTTCACTGAGCACGCCTAGACATTGGTTTGGAGGTGTCAGGTCTCCCCAAGGGAGGTCTATGTTGCTTCCTTCGATTCCTAGAGTTGGAGTTTGTAGGGATCTCGGGATTTCCCACTTTTGGCAAAATGGAATGAAGATATAGTCAGAGACAACCTCCGAGTCCTCTTTTGGTCTTAAAACTTCTAAGACAGCAGTTGCAAGTGAACGCAAGGCATGCGCTTCCCCCTGCTGGTGCATCTGAATTAACATCGGCCCCAGCGTCATTGGTGCTGTTATCACTGTATATACTGTCTTGAGCTAAAAAATAAATCGACCGAGTGGGCTGCTAACCCACAAGGTCGTGTCACTGTTCAGAGGTCTCTATTGGCCGACTCAGAGCAAGCTCTGAGTCGTTACCGGCGGAAACCACGAGGAGGTTGCGACTTGAACAGCGACTAACTAGACTCAATCTCAAGGATCCTCACCCACAAGTGGGTTCATTTTTTTACTAGCTAACAAAGAACAATGACCAGTCAAAAAGAACAAATTAGCACACTAGGCAGTGCTCGCCACAACAAAGCAATACACCCCCTGGTTTAATCACAATTTACATCTCCAATTCACATTGGTCATTTGGTCATGTCTCCGCCATATATTAATGCCGCCAATGATAGCTCTTGTACTTAATATTTTAATGTCTTTTTTCGAGATGTACGAACAAGGTAACTTACTATAGCATCGTGCATTTTGATTCGCTGCTGGTGCGTGGCGTAACATTACTGAAGAATGTGATTCAATGTCTCTGGGGAGCTGCATCCTCTTCTGCATTGATTTGTCTTGGCAGGACGACCACGCGTGGTCCGAGCTCTGTTAAACAGAAACTCGTACCGCAAATGGAGGCAGTTGATGAAGTCCCTGCCTGTGAGGAATTTTGAGCCACCAGAAACCCAGTGGATCATTGATTCGAATTTCCCACTGGAGTTCAAACCTTTTCCGTCGATCCTCTAGTAGAGGTCACTTTTAAACATAGAGGCAATTTTTGTGCTCGAATTGAGTGTTTTGTCATGGTGATTCAACTGGGCTATTGTCCTTTCTCTGTTGGTGGGTGATCTTCTCAGGGCCATAAGTGGGACCGTCCAACGTAGTGATGTTACCCGTAGACCACCATCGGCGACCTTAAACGTAATCTTCGTTTAAGCAAATGAAAGCATTTCTTATGCATTTTACTTAGCAATGAAAACTTTAAACCCGCTTATCTCAGAACTCGATTTTTTGAGTTATGCCGCTATTGCAGCCCATGTGCGATATGATAACCATAGTTCGATAAGGAATAAGAAGATATATGAATACTAAAACTAATAAAGTAGAAGATATTTTCAAAATATTCACATTAAGTAATCCTCTGTTAAAACAGTCCCGGTTTTCGACCACTCGTGCCGGGTTGCTTGCTAAACTAATTTAATAACCCTACGGCTTGACCGGATCGGACCCTACAGGGTTGCTCCTTCACCGGGTTCACCGTAGTACTAGAGTTTAATCTGTGTGTGTTTGTGTTAAATTATTTGTAGAATTTTGATAATAAATAGTCTGACATTAGAAATGCGGTGGCAGGGCTATGTTTCATGTTATCCTCAATTATACTGATATCAGGTAGTTTTTTAAAGTTCGAGGCAGAACAGTCTCTGGCTTCTTTAAAGAATTTAATGTTTAGTTTCGCAGTGAAACAATGTTACGTTTGATAGTTTTTTCTTTAGGTTAGCGCTAATGGTCGTTAGGGTAGGCTGAGCTTGCATATGTTTGGATCGGTCTAATCGCTTGGAGGTATATAGTTCTTTTGTTGAAAAGATTTAACTTAGAACTTTTATTTAGGAGCGCTTTCAGAGAGAAGAACACACCTCTAGCTCTTTTAATATTTTCGTTAATGTGGGTAATCCAGTTTAGATTTTACGAGATCGTTATTCCAAGATATTTAGCATGTTTTACAGGTGTGATCTTGGTGTTAAATAATTGTACAGTAGGTACATTTTTATTTCACTTTTTGCTATTAATGATAATGAGTTTACTCTTATCCGGGTGGAGCTTGATTCTCCATTTTGAACACCATGTTTCATAATCATATAGCTTATGTTGTAATAGACTGATTGATCTCTTAGTACTCATGGATTTAGTTGCAATTGCTGTATCATCTGCATATAAGGCTACGAATTCATTATGGTTATTATTGTTTATGGAAAATCCGCAGTGTAGAGTATATATACAGGAGTGGGCCTAGAATAGATCTCTGAGGGACACATGCGCTAATTTTATTGTAGGTAGAGCAGGTGCTATTCTGTTTATAAGGTAGGAACTCAGAATTTTTAAGATATTGATAGGGAATTTCATATTATTAAGTTTGACGAAGAGATCCTTATACCATACTCGATCGAATACTTTCGCAACATCGAGTAGAATAAGGGCCATTGTCTAATTTTTAAACTCTCCATTACTTATATATTCCAAGATACTGATAATCTGGTTGTCGAAAGATTTCGTCGAAATCCATACTATTGTTGCTGTAGGACATTTAAATAGTTTTTAATTCTATTGCTGATAATTTTTTCAAAGCCGGATAATATATCCGCCAGTTAAATATTTCAAAGTATTTTCCCCCGCAAACTATTAGTAAATACTGGCGATCGCAACGCTCGAATACGCCATCCGGGAGGAGACTGGTTTCATGCCTTCCCTCTCCTCCTCTTTTCAGCTGTATAGGAATGTACTACGATATTTTCCTTTTTCTTAATATTTTTCCTTTTTATTTAATAAAAATATTTTTTAAAATTTCCGTGATACTTTTCTTTAGAACTATGTTTAATGTAGTTTTCAGCTTCATATAGTTTTCCAACTTAAAAGATTTTAATATATATGAAAATCAAGAGAGGAATCACTTTCCTCACGCTAATGGGGAAAGCATGTGAAGTGTTGCCATAGGTAGAGAGTTCTGCTTTACGTCACCTGCAGCCCATTTCGATCTCCAATAGATTTGAAGGAGAAGAAAGTTTTGCTGATGGATGAGTTTTGCACGAGAAAACTTGTTTCACCAATCAGGTTTTTATAATGATTTCGATATTTCTTAATTTGTGGAATATATAATAGTCACTCCCAATGAGAGACGTGGTTCACGGATTTTCTGTCGTTGCAAAGAAAAATGCAGCATATCCGTAAATTTATGCGTGCAGTAAGAATGGCATTGCAAAAGTCAAATCTTATAACTTAAGGGACAGATATAGGTAGCCAGAAACGTACTCTTCACGCTCTGGCCGCTTCCGTTCTTAAGCAAACTGAAAACAAATATGTAAAATTTGAATTAAATTTTAATGAAGAAAAAAATAAAGCAAAAAATTCAAACTAGTTCATTGTTTGCTTACATTTATCTTCTTTGAAAATAAAATTGATTTTCATTGAAGATTTCGTACAGCAAGACGCTAGATGAGTATAGCTTGAGCGTGTAGTTTAATCATTTTGGAAGGCTACCCATGAAATTAGCTCGTATTATTTTCAAAGTTTCAAATTAATACTCATGGCATCCAATTACTCAAATGAGTTTCCAGTTTGGGCTCTTCTTCCCAAGCGTGAAACTAATGTAACATCTTTTCTTAATAAGTATCCCGAGTATGATGGACGAGGCATCACAATAGCAATTTTTGATTCTGGTGTCGATCCTGGTGCTAAGGGACTACAGGTGCTTTATTTTATTTTGTCTCAACCCCAATGTGCTTTTATTAAATCTCAGTAGTATTCTTAATAAATGTCTAAGTTATTGCTGAGTGACATTAAACAATTTTATGACCGATGTTAAGTTAATGGATGCTTAGAATTTTTATAACCGTCGTTGAATATTTCCGTATCGTGATCTGTCTCGCCAAGATGCCAAATAGAATTTAAATTTGCAAATTGTAAAGAAAAAAAATATGTAGATGTTTACCTGGGGTGGCTACGAGTTATACCTTTTGAGTTGGTCCCTTTCTGTGATGTTTTTTTTAGTTTCTCGCGGGCCACTGCCCGGAAGTTTCCAAGACTTGGTAATTATTCTGCCACATATCACGCTATGATAATCTCCCCCCAATTTTTGAGTTTATGGAGGGCTTTGAAACTCGACAGATGTAACATTCATCAGTCAACATTTACTACACTTAGAATCTTCGCCCGGCAGGGATTAAACCCACTACATCTTGGAAATGGAACCATGCCCCACCAACAAGGCTATCCCAGCCCCAACCTTCTTCTACCACTATTCCTTCTATTATCCAATTATCTCCACCTACCACAAGCCGAGTGCCCTCAACAAAGTATTGAAAAAATTTATAAAGGACTTTTTGGTGGAACTAACTGGCATTTATGTTACTTGGAGAGGAAGACATCCCACGGTTAGCCTGATGGCAAATGGGACAGAATATTTTCAAATGTTCTGCAACAGGACTTATTAATTTATACAAATATTCTGCAAGCATTTCACAGTGAAAAAGTCAACTTTACGTTAAAATACTATTATTTTCATTTATGAAAATACAGGATCATACACAGATACACTACATTATTTTTTAAACCGAGGCAAACATTCTTGATATGTTACTTTTTCAATTTGGAAGTAAAAAATTTTGTTAATGACGGGGATGTGGATAAATTATTAATAAAATGCCAAAGGTCCGAACATTAAAAAAATAGGGGCTGCCTTAAAAATCTTTCTGAGGGACAAGTGACCAGATGGTGCACCATTTGCAAACACAAACATTCACTGGTCTGTTGTTCCAAACAACTTCTTCATCTCCATTGAAAGCATTGGGTCTATTAAAAACGGTGTCACTTATTCAAGATACAAATTGTTCTGCAGGACTTCGTTTGTTCTGCGATGTACGTCACAATTTTAGACACAATCTGCTTCTGAGGGGGGGGGGGATCCATGATTTGCATGAAATCTTCCACGATTTGCTGTATAATCTTAAAATGAAGTTGAAGGAAGTCTAAAAATTTACTCCTCCAAAAATTACATTTTTGTAACAGTCTCCTTTCCCTCCAATGTATAGATATATTCCTTTCATTTTTGAATTTTAACTGCCCTTTATTACACTGATAAAAGAAGAAAAAAACTGTCTAGGCCTTAAGTTATATAGTATTTTATACATTTAAATTTTATTTTTTGCCTAGTTTATGCAAATATTAAATAGCATTTTATGTCGATCAAGTTTTAAATAAATGTTCTCAGGAGATCAAAGGATCTTAACTTGCCAGTTTTTAACAGAGTATTTACATTATTGGTTGGGCACATTGTGAAGAGCAATATTTCGGCATCGTGATCTGTCGTCGCATCAACTACATAGTGCCAAAAAGCATTTTAAACATGCATTTTTAAAAAAATAAAATAAAAAACATGTTAAGCTTTGCAAATGGGTGTTTACAAGTTAATCCCCTTCTGTGATTTTTTTAAATTTCTTGTAAGCCTCTTCTCAAAAAAGCACCAAGACTTGATGATTATTTTACAATACTCTTAAGATTAAAATAAAAGGTGAGACAATAAGCTGTTGTCTGGCTTCAAACTTTTTTCTAATTGTTCTTCAAATTGCATAAAAATATATATAAATTCAATAGAAACTAATTTTTATAATTGTTTTAAAAAAAACAATAATTTGTTTTCCCAGAAAACGAGTGATGGGAAGCAGAAAATCGTTGAAATGATGGATGGTTCTGGAGCTGGAGATGTGGACACTTCTAATGTTGTTGAAGCTGAGAATGGATTTATTACTGGGCTCACCGGAAATAAATTGAAAGTAAGTACTCCTATTTATTTCGAGAAATAACTAAATTTATGTCTCTTAAAATTTAAAAAAAGGAATAATTATAATAATAGCAATCAATAATGTTAGTCTGGTACCTGTTGAATTGAAATTTCATGCCCTTTCATGTTAACATATTTGAGAAATAATAATTTTTTATTGTTTATCAAATATATTGATTTATAGATAAGTTAAAAGAACTTATATTTTTATGTGAACTTATACTTCATATAAGGAATTTAGGACAAAGCATAAAATATTTTTTTACTTATTCTTTTAAATGAACTAGGAAAACTCAGTTGAAACAAAATGAAAAACCTTTAGGCTTTTTTTTTTCCTTATTACTCTGGTTTTGAATATATATTCAGGGGAAGAAAAATTGCTAATCTTATTTACAACTTTTCTATAGGTGCCATCTGATTGGAAAAATCCAACAGGAAAGTATCATTTAGGAGTCAAAAATGCTTATGAGTTATATCCCAAGATTTTGAAAGAACGAATTATAGTAAGTTATTAGCATGATTCATGAATAATGTTTTGATATTTTTCATTTATAATACTAAAAGTCATGCCGCCTTTTAAAAGGAATTTTGCTTTTTTTCCCCTTCTGATTTCCATCATAAAATTGTCTATAATTAAAAAAAAATTTATATGTTGAACAGAGGGACATTTGTAAATTGTACAAAAGTAATTGAAGTTTCTTATATTTTCTACCTAATATGTTGTTTCTGTGTTTTTATGACTTTTGCATAAAATATGTAAAGATTTAGAGAAAAAAAAATTTCTTATCAAGAAATTTTATAAGGATGAATTGGGAGTCGTTTATTTATTTACGGTTTTTAGAGTATAATATCAAATTTTGTTTAATGGAGATGTTTGAAAATTGAAAAATATTTATGATTATGTCAAACATGTATTTTCTGTATTTTTTTATTCATACTTGCATCTTTAATCTATATGTTTAGAATCCGTATAAAAATTTAAGAAATTAGTTATCAAAAATTAATATATAATAATAATAAAATAATCTTCATAAACAGTTGGAGTTATATAGACAAGAGCAGAGAGTTCAATGACATCAAAATTTGTTTGATTGCCTAAAGACTCTCTCTTTGTTGCAGCAACACAAAAAAGCTGTAGTTTTTCTGCAGATACATCAAAAATTATACTTCTGAAATAATGACTGTATCATTGCTTAATTTACCAAAGATTAAAAGTTTCATTATTTTTTTTTTAAAATTGATGATTTTAAAGTGTCTTCACATAAACTATAGAGATTTTGTAGACAATATACATTTTTTTATAATAACTAGAGAATTACTGCTTCACATTCGTTTCAAAATAATTGAAGTATTTTTAATGTTAAGATTGCACTAAAAAAAAACTATACTTGACTGTCTTCAAAAATTCTTTAATTCTGTAGAAAAATGGAAATTGCTTAGACAACCAATCAGATTCCATCTAGGTATGTGTTAAAGACTGGAGTCCATGAACTAGGTTAGTGTACTGAAGAGGTGCTTCAGTCATATCTCCTTACGCTTAACTGAATTTAATTGATTCAAAACAAATATGTTTCTGCAAAAGCTTTCACTTTTACTTCTGTTCTGTGTTCCTCACCTATAATTTTAATGACATTTACAATTATCCATAAAACAATGTTACAAATGTATTTATTTAGATTTTATTAAAAGTTAGTTTTTAATTTAAATTTTATTAAAAGTTAGTTTTTAAATATTGCAGTTTCCAATGAATCTTTGAATGCATCTTTGTTAAAAAAAATTCATTTCAAACTTGCAAAGAAGAAAAATTAAAAATTTTAATTAAAATAAATGAGATTAAAGTAAATTAAAATGACTAAATCTAAAATAAGTGCCCTAAAATGTGTTTATAATTTTATGGCGGAGGTTTTTGATTGTTTTGTTATTTTTGTCCCGAAATATATTTATTGAATCATAATAATATAATTTAAGTTTTGAAAAAGAAAATATTATTCAAAGTTTCTTTGTTTCTATAAATATATAGAAAAAATAGGTGAAGTTATATTATTGTAAACTGCTTTTATCTAAAAAGTTTTGTATTTAATTTTGTCATCTAAACTTATTTCAGAAAGATAGGAAGGAAGCATTTTGGGATGCTGATCACAAATATCAATTGGCAGAAGCGAGTCGAGCCTTGCACGAATTTAACAGTCAACATACATCTCAAGTAAGACCTTTTGTTTTTTAATAATTTGAAAATTGACATTTTTGTACATGGTTTAAGATTTTATTTGTGCTTTTTATAGCTTACTGTTGAAGAGAAATTCAAGAAAGAAGAATTAGAAACTCAAATCGAAATTTTGAATACTCTTGAAAAAAAATATTGTGATCTTGGTCCAACATATGATTGTGTTGTATTTCATGATGGAAAATGCTGGAGGTAATCGAAAAATTTATTTTTAATGTACTGTTTTCCAGGATCCAACTATTGAAATTTGATGAAGCTCATGCTTTTTAAAACCAGTCTATCGAAAAGGAAAATAAAACTATTTTCCAAAAACAAAAATAATTTCATTTCTATCATATCCTTAATCAAATATATTAAAGTCAGTGTATAATTTTCATTATAGTCAATAATGATCTGTCTTCTGACGTAGTAAAAATAGTAAAACAAGCAAAATTTTAGAGAAAACTTTGAATTAACAAAAACGTTATTTAGAAAAGGAAAAAGGGAACATATAACACTTATCAACTCCTGTGACATTTACAATAACCAATCAGAGCATGTTTATAATGACGGTGAGGTAAAGAAAAACTGTAACACAACACTTATAATTGATATTTAATTTATTTTTAATGTAATTAGAGAAACAGAAATTTTCTCCTCACAGGGTTCCTTTTCTTCTCCTTAAATCTAAAGTTGATTAATCTTTTATCACTGCACTGTGCTTTAATAAACGATAGAAGGTCAAAGTGTCAGCTAAGGAGCCACCACAGGAAAAATATAATCTATGAAAGAATTCATCAAATTTCGAAAAGTAGGAATTGTTTGAAAGATGTCCATCTTTGAAGAAATTGCTTTAATCGTATTTTTTTTATGGATTGCGTAATAAGGCTTTAGGTGTCACTTTTTTTAATGAAAGGGCAATAGTGAAAGAGAAAAAATTGTTTCCAAGCAGGCCTAAGAAGAACTATTGAAATTATGAAAACCTACATTTAATAAAAAAATTTTTTCCAACATTTTTAATATGTGTTTTACCCATTCCATTGCAGACTATACATAATCTGTAATTTAATATAAAATAATGACTAGCTGGAATCTTATTTATTTGTTTTATAACCGTTGTTGAACAGCTGACCCAATTTTTGGGTTTACGACTTCTAGTGTTCAACTCCTTAGCCTTGTAATTTTGAACCCAATCCAGACGACTAGGGAACTCCTGGATCAAGTATTGGGAGAAATTTTGAATATGTGGAGAATATATAATAATCAATTGAAAATAGGTTTGCATTCTAAAATACATAACACTCTATTGAAAGTAAAATTCTCCCACTTCCCATAAACAAATACCATGTGCTCATTTTAAAGAACCGTCATAAAGCAATGTAAATTCATTCCTTTCCCCAATTCTTTATACAGTATACTCTCGATATCTCTAATTTGAAGGTCCCCTAAACACGTTTCGCGATGGCGAGTTCAGAACTAAATATGTTCAAAAAGTAGAAAAATATGTTCGAAAATATTACTCCAAGAAGTAGAGTCATGAAGCATACCATTAACTACCATGAAATATGTATGTAATGATAGTTGGTTGACTATAAGTCTAAATACAGCAATGACAATTTAATTTTGAAAAGTAAGACAAAAATAAGAAAAGAATTAACTTACATTCTGATTTTTCCGAAAAATTTCATTTTCTGTTTTGAAAAAATTTGACCTGACTAAGTTTTGAGAATAAACTCTTCAGCATGGGAATTCAAATGAACATTAGGTGGATATATAATGCCAAGGGGGAAAATATTTTTTTAGCAAGGTTTTTGAGATATCGAAAGTGTCCTGTATAATCAAAATCCACATACTCGTGAGTTATAGGTTTCATTTTGAGTAAAATATAGGATCCACATATATCTCAAACATGCAAAAATTAGTTTTTAAAACTTTCACAATTCTTCAAGTTTTTAAAACTTTCACAAGCCATCTTGTGCACATTTCATCTTGCACAAGATGGCTAACAAAAATTATGAGGAAACCATTTTAAACATTATAACAATGTTAAAAGTCATTTTTAAAATTGGTATGAAAGTTAAATTCTAAGAAAATGAATGACATTCAATATTTTGTACAGTATATAAATTTTGTATTCATTTTTTAGGGCAGTTATTGATACTTCAGAAGAAGGAGATTTAGAAAATTGTGATCTTCTTGGCAGCTTTTCCGAAACATATGAATATGCCAGACTTACTGAAATGGGTATTCCTCTTTAAATTACATTTTGACAGTATTTCGCTAAAAGAATCTCAAGTTATTTGAGGTTTATGCATTCTTTATGAATATCATTTTATTTTTCATATTTTGTTTTTGAGATTTAAAGTGAAAAATATGTGTAAAGAACTTAAGTACTCGATATTTCTGAATCTAACCTCAGAGAACTTTTAGAAATTTTTCAAAGCTAAAGTTTGGTTGCCAGTTTATAATCGAATTACTAACTTTGAAAAACTTCAGGAGAATAATGCCTATTGAAATAATTCTCCTTTCGTCAAGCATTAGCGCTGATCAGTAAATATCATAAAATATACATACAAAACATAAAATAATGGTTGAAAATGGAATGCCCAGATATAAAAATTGAAAAAGAAACATCCAAAAGGAACAATTGAATTTCTCTTATTTTTTAATCTTCTAATTATAAATTCGAACTTATTACGTTAGAATTTTTGCCATAAATTGCTCTATGGTCAAATGTTGCCTGCCTGAAGCAGGAAGTTTTTGCTGAGGAGAAAAAAAAATGGTATTACTGTCTAAAGTTTTGTGTCATGCAAAAAAATATTTATATAAAATATCTGATTGGATTTTTCAATTGCATATACACTATTTTATTATTATTATTTTTATTTAGTTGGCTGGAATTAAATAATAAGTTGTTAAATATTTTTATAAAAATTAAAAGTACATACGTTATAATGATGATTCTTAATAGCAGAGGGAATTCTTGTTTTAACGAACTTGTTAAAAGCAAATAGACATGCTACTGTGAACGACTGAAATTGATGTAAATGTCCTAAATATATACTAGGTCTAGTTAAGTGCCACTGCCCGGTATGCCCTACATTAATGTTTCTTTAAGATCAAGTGCCACTGCCCAGTATACAAACCCAGTATACAATTTAATCAGTACTCTGAACACTGATGTTTCTCCTAATCGATCCTCAGCAGATATTAAAATATCGAAAAAATATAATAAAAGCAACGACTAAATTAATATCAAATCACATATATTTAGTACATTCACCAAAGCAACTATGTGATTGTTGACATTCTCTTGATTTTGATCATTCACTGTAACAGACATATTAAATATTATAATCGTAATAAAAAAGATTATTATGTAAAATTGACACTTTTAAATCTTTTACTTATTTATTTTTGCAATTTTAGCCAATCGTTTCAGAATTTTTTTAATTCTCTATCTGCCAGGGTTCCCATGAGTCAAGGAGAACAGGGAAAACCTGGAATTGTCAGGGAATTTTATTTTAACTCCAAAAGTCAGGGGAAGTTGACATTTTTTAACAAAAACCTGGGAAATTCCTACATTATACCTGGAAAATAACTTGTCTTAAAATTGTCAGTAACAGTAATCAGTTATTGGGATTCGATTATAAAAAGAAATTAAAATATTAATGCAAAAATAAAAATTAAAAAAGATTAAGAAGGTTAAAACATCCAAATGGAAAAATGCGCTTAGCAGCAAAGAAACCAAGAGGAATTAAACAAATGAGACATTGAAGAAAAATTAGTAAAAAATTGGGGAAAAAATGTGACATCATCAGTGTACCAGCCTTGAATTGTCATAAAATGCAAAACTTTTTTTTATCGAGAAAAGCTAAGACAAAAGTCAAAAAATTTGCTTTCTCTGTACCCCAAAAGTTTTGCACAGGTCCAGAAAAATACAAGAATAAATAGAAAAATAAGTTATACAATACAGTAAAGTACAGAAGCATAAAGCAATAGAAAAAAACGAGACAAGTACAGAAGGATAGTAAGAAAGAAAACTTACTAGTATGATACAAATTAAAATTCGTTTAAAAAAAAGAAGCATGTACAATCATTAGAATAAAACAAGACAAATACATTAAGAAAACTTACTTGGAATAACAAGAATCCAATTAACTGAAAAATTCACGTATGACTGCAAGATACAAATGAGAAAGACTAAAACATCAAAACAACTCCCCCAAAACTGCCCAGTTTAAAGAAAGGACAGCAGTTAAGAAGGTAGTGACGTTATAAAACAAAAGAAAAATGTTACTGAGAAGAATTGAATAGAATTGGAATTTTAACCAATGAAAAAAATTTTTTTAGTAATTCTTAATTTTAGAATCTATATTACAAAAGTTAAAAGAAAAACCATTATTTTCTAAATTTTTAAAAAAAATTACTAGTAGCCTCTTGAAAACTTAAAACATTATTACAGATTTTATTAATTCTAAACAATTGAGAAAAAACAAAATTTTTGAAAATTTTACTGCATAAATTAGTATCAAAATTGCAGTAAAAAAAATAACAATAAAATTAAAAGCTTTTCTTTTTATCAAATACACCAATTTTATTTTGCTGATCTACAATATCTATTTTGAAATCTAAGTATTCAGCACTAAAACAATTATCATTAGTTTTTTTCAAAATCAATTCCTTAGGATAAATATTATAAATAAAATCAAAATTATCACAGTTAAATAAAATTAAATCTTCTATATATCTAAAAGCTTTAAAATCACTAAATTCACTAGCTTTAGCTTCAAAAAAATTAAAAAAAATATTGGCAAAAGCACCAGAAAAGGAATTACTTTGCGGAATCCCAATAGTTTGTTTATAAAAATTAATACCATTAAAAAGAAAATTTTCAAAAAGATTAAACTTACAAATATCCAACCAGTAAGATTTATCAATATTTTGATTAATTAAATATTTATCAAAAATATTACAACATATATCTATAATTTGTGCATGGGGTATACTAGTGTATAAAATTTCAAAAACGAAAATATTAATATTAGACACTACATTATTATTAATAAAATTCAAAACATCAATGTTACTATCAATAACAATATTATTCTCTTTTTTAATCTTAAGTAAAATAATTTTCAGAAAATTAAAAAACTTTTTACTAATACTAGAATTATAACAATTGATACCACATGCAATAAATGTAAACTTAACTGGATTCTTATAAAATTTAACAATAGGAAATAAATATGGAAAAGAAATCTTATTCAATTTAAATTTTAATTTTTTACTCAAAGCAATAATCCTTTTTTCAATAACTTTTTTTTTTATCTTCTTTTAATTTATAATAAGTATTATTAGCATTATATTCCTCAATTATTAATTTTCTAAAAAAATATTTAAGCATAATAGAAAAATTATTAGAAGCTTTATCAACAACAGTAATGATAAATTTTTTCTTAAGATTTTTAATCTTTTCAAACAAGTCATTATCAATAATGCTACCTTTAGGATAATAAAAAAAACTTGGAATAAAATAAATTAAATTTAACTGTTTCAACAATTTTAGCCTTCCACTCTATAAAACCCTCAACAGGCCAATGATATCTTCTAGAAACCTTAGCAATAAAAAAATCTAGATCTCTTTTCACTGATAAAATAAAATCTTTATTCCTAATTTTACACCTGGTCCTAAATTTAGAACCTTTACTCATAGTATCAATTAAATCCTGATCTCCTACAATATCTAAATTTCCCATAATAACATGACCATAATCATTATCAATATATTGATAAAAATTTTCATCTTTACAATGACAATCAGTAAAAGAATTATCATTTAAATCCCTACTTAAAAAATTATAGTTACAAATTCTCTTCCTTTAAGTAGAGGAATATTTATAAGCTATAGAAACTTAAACTTGTTTTAAAGGGAAAATGTCAGAAAATTAACGAATAACTTGTGAAATCCTAGCAGTTTCAAATTTTTTATCTTGAAAATTAATAGTACAAGAAACTTTCTGAACTTTAGTAAGTTTTTTGAAAAGTAAATCAGTTTTATCTACCCCAAGCTTAGATTTAACTAAATCTAAAACAATAAATTTAATAAGTTCAGTATCAAATTTAATTTTATTCCCAAATTTAAAAATGAAATTAAGAACTTTGTTTTTAAAGCCAAAAATATGTTTCCTAATAAGAAAAATATTGTTAAGATTAACTTGATAGTTACAAATTTTTGTAATTTCATCAAAATCAATAATTTTTCCATGTCCTTTACCATTAACTCTTTTATATCTAAGACTAGAACTAAAGCTGTAGGAAAATAAAACACTTTAAATTTATCATAAACACAAAAGTTATTAAAATCACTAGTGCCTTCACCATTAAATGTACTATTTATACCATAAGGAAAAAGTGTTTTAAGACTTCTTCTTCTTCAGCACGACAGCCCCTTGCAGGCCTTGGCTGCCTCAACCATGCGTAGCCTCCAACGCCTCCTATCTTTTTTCCAGTTGTTAATCTTTATTACTTTGAGATCTTTAGTAGTGTCATCCAGATATCTAGTTGGACGTCTTACACTGGGCCGAGATCCAAAAGGATTTTTAAAGGTGGCAATTTGTACTGCATTGTTTTCTGGACCTCTCCAGATATGGCCAAGTCATCTTAATCTATTGCTTCGGATAACCTGCACTATCTGTGGCTGTTCATGGAGTCTATATAATTCAAAGTTGTATCTAATTCGCCTTTCCCCTGTACTGGGCCAAAAATATTTTTAAGGATTTTCCTTTCAAAAACAACAAGAGTATGCTTAGTGTCTGTGTTTAGTGTCCATGTTTCACTTGCATAGAGCAATACAGGTAGAATAAGAGTCTTATAAATTTTAATTTTGGTTTTTCGACAGATTAGGCTTGATCTTAATTGCCTTCTTAGTTCAAAGAAACACTTGTTTGCCATTTTAATTCGGTTGTCTACTTCTGTCTTTATGCTGTTTTGGGCATTGATCATTGTTCCAAGGTATTTGAATTCATTAACCTTTTCAAAGGTGTAACCATTTATGAATAAAGGATCATGATTTACAGTTGTGGCTGGAGATTCCATAAATTTAGTTTTATCATCGATGATGGTAAGGCCCATATTTGTGGCAGAAGTTTAATTGCTTCCAGTAGTTTATCTCTCTTTATGCTGTCGTAAGCAGCTTTAAAGTCTATAAATAAATGAAAAGTTTTGATATTATATTCCTTAGTTTTTTCTAAAATTTGTTTTAGGGTGCGAATTTGATCTGTTGTAGATCTTTGTGATCTAAAACCTCATTGGTAATCTCCAATTATTTTGTCGGTAAAAGGGAGAAGTCTTGTAAAAAGTAAGTTGGAGAATATTTTATATGCCGTATTGAGGAGTGTAATGCTCCTATAGTTACGACATTCGAGCTGATCTCCTTTCTTAAATATGGAACAAATGGAGCCTTCTTCCCATTCAATGGGCAATTTCTCCGTATACCAAATTTTAACCATAGTATTATAGATGGCGTTAAGAAGCTCTGGTTCTTCAGTTTTTAGTAGCTCAAATGGTATACAGTATACAGACCTATTGTTAAGTTTTTTAATAGCAAAGACAACCTCATCTAGAGATGGTGGGGGGATGTCTATGTGTTGAACTGGTGTACTAATAACAGACTACTAATATAAATATTTTCTAAATCAAGCCTATTATCTAAATTGTCCATAAAATCCAAAATAAAAAGAGTAACATTATTAAAATTGTGAAACTGAAAGTGCAAGATTTCATAATGCTTAGCATTACAGAAAAAAAAAAAAAAAAAAATTAAGAGTTTTCTGATGAAAAATTTTGTGGTATAGATAAAATATGGATTTTCATTGAAATTTACCTGTTAGACCAAAAAAAGTGAGGGAATTTTTTTTTTCTGTAACTGAGTGGGAACCCTGATCTGCCTGCTTTCCTTTTTAGCATTCAACCATTAATTTGCCTGTTTTAAGCACCATAGGTGTAGGAAATTCATTTTTTTTTTTTTTTTTTTTTTTTTTTTTTTTTTTTTTTTTTTTTTTTTTTTTTTTNTTTTTTTTTTTTTTTGTAATTTTTGAATTGCTGGTTTTTTGCATTTAACATTTTGATAAAACTTTCTTTACATTTTTACTGTATTCTCTTTCAAAAACTAAGCTTCCATTAAAAATCAAGTTAGTTATGACAAATTGCCAAAAAGCATAAAGTTTTTACAAGATTTAATAAAAAAAATAAATAAATTTAACTCATCATAAACATACAATTTTCCTATCTTTAATATTAGAATTTCGACCATTATCATAATAAATTTTCATCAAGTTTTTTTAACATCGTGTTTCATTAAGTTTGTATTCTAGTTTAGAGCACTTGTATTTTTATCTTTAAAGATCAACACGCAATCAAGATACTAACATAAAATGTAGAAATTTGATTTTAGTTAACTGAAATTTCAGCTGAAATAGGTTTAAATAGTCAAGATTCTACTCTATAAACAATTAAGAAGAAAATAAGATAAAAATGTCATTTATTTTACAAAATTTAAAATTCTGTTTTTTATTGGTTATTTAATTTACTCATAACTTCAATTACTAAGAGTAAATAAAAATATTTTTGCTGTTTTTATCAAATTTATTAAATGCATATTGAAATACATTTTTATCATAAAATTTTTTTTCTTTCGAAGTGTTAAATCATTTAATAAATTTTATTACAGATCTGCTGAATTATTGTGTTAACATCTATGATGATGGAAATTTATTAGAGATTGTGAGCACTTCAAGTAAATCCTACTTTTTACTTTTGATCAAAAATATTGTATATAAAAATTACAAGTTTTATTTTGTTTTGTAACTTAGCTATTTGTTTATGTTATTTAATGTTTAGCATCAAATTTATTATAACAATTATGAGCTGATCTTCAAAAATTGTAAATGACTTCTTTAATTTTGAAAAATTCATTATTTAGAATTTATTTTCATCATATTATTCTTTTAGAATACTTCTAAAAAAATGTACTTTAAGAAAGAAAAATTAATTTTGAAAAATAAGCAAGCTGAAGGAAATAAATATTTGAAGATCTAAGTTGATGTATGTTCACAGGGACATATTAAATTTAAGTAAATTTGTTTTTGAGTTATAGGAAATGACAAAGAAAATTTCCCATAATTGTTTTTTTTTTTTTTTTTTATTTATTTTTTTTTATCATTGGCCTGTTTGTATGATAAGCTATACGCTGCAAAATATTAAAATATTTTGTAAAAAAATCTCTTATTGGTTTTTTGAGATAATATTGTCTTGCAGTGGCTTAAGGTTTCCAGTAAATCAGAGAAGTCAAGTATTGTTGATAGAAGTTCAGTGTGTAAGCACTTTGAACAGCTTGCACAGGAATTAAGAGTGTGCAATAGTGGTGCTCGAAACTTTGTGAACTTTTCAAACCCTAGTGCTTTGTAAGGCTGCCAAAGCGAAATGACCTCTTTGAAGAATCAAAATAGTGATGGCACATCCTTAGGGATATTTCCCAGACTGTTTGCCAATAGCTCATTGTGCAACTCTAATGCAATGCAAATACTACTCGATAATATTGTAGCAATGATAATATAAGCAAGGGAAAGAAAAAGAGTTGTCTAGCTACTTTTCACAAAATCCATCGTGATACACAGTGTTTTTATTGCCAATTGGCAGAACCTATAAATTCACAACACTCATTTAGACTTTTCGTGTCACAACATTCACACTCTTGGCGTTGTAATTTGCTGCCAAGAAAGAGCATTCTAAGGTTGTTCGTCTTTCTCTTAATCAGTTAATAATTTATTTACATTAAAGTAAAATGGTTACGAAATTCGTTTCTAATAAATAATTCATTTCTTCCAAGCAGACAAATTCAACAAATAAATTAAAGTTCATTTAACTGTTTCTTTTATATATATATATATATATTATTTTATTAATGATTGATGGTAAAAGGGGCTGAATTTGCTTGTCTTAGAAAGGCTAAAAAGTTCCAAGTTATGACTTGAAACAGAAATATTTTTACAGACAAAAGCTTAGTATAAAAATCCATAGATTCGTTCAAAATTAACATTTTAATCTATTGCTATAACTGTTAACTTGTCTTACTGATGTATTCACATTGTTTTTATTATATTTATTATTGTTTTTGTGAAAAAGTGTTTCAGAGTTTGCTATAATTTTATTTTCTATTGCCTAATAATTTTTTTATGTTAATTAAATTGGATACAAAACATTGTTTAGTTAAGAAACAAGCATTGTTAACTTTAAATATAACTAATTATTGCAGGTGCGCACGGAACTCATGTTGCGAGCATTGCAGCAGCCTATTTTTTTGATAATCCAGAGATGAATGGTGTTGCTCCTGGTGCTCAGATCGTCAGCATCGCTATTGGAGACCGTCGTCTCTCGACGATGGAAACTGGGACGGCATTGACTCGTGCTGTAAGAATAGGATCTTCTTTTTTATAATCTTCTCATATTCTAGAGGGTTGTCACTCCACATGGAAAACCTAGAAAATACAGTGAATTAAAAAATCACCTAAAATAACAGGGAAAATGTAGGGAACTTTCTTACCAAGGTTGGATTTTTACCGTCAAAAACTGGTTTTTGACATGACAGTGGTAAAAACCGTGTTTTTACCGGTAAAAACTGTCAAAAACCTACTGTTTTCTTTAATTTATGGCATATAGCGGATAATATATTATTTTCACATAATTGCCTTTATAAATGAATGTTGTAAATGATTGCTATTGATTTTGCAACTATATACATGTATTCTTATAGAAGGATATACATTCATACAGAAATATTGTAATATACTTATTGAAAATAGTGATACTTACTTTTATCATAATAGCTTGATTTGCAAAGGATTCAAAATTTTGCACTTCTTAATTGTTAGAAATAAACAAACTTACAAAAAAGCTTGGAACTATTAATAAATACAAGAACTAAAAAGAGTTTAAAATTTGGCATTACTTAAATATAGAAATAAGCTAAACAAAACTTTCAAAACTTGTAACTACTTACAAACTCTAAGTCAAGAATTACTGCTATTTTGTCAAGTTAAGAACTTCTATTCAGTTGAAAAAGCACTATAAACAAAACTTAATTACAAACAAAATTACATGTTCAGTAGTCTGGGTCACTGTGCCGAAGCATACGATAGCAAGTGACTAATTTTGCGCATTTTTCATTGCCCAGTCGATTTCTAAGTTTAGTGAATGAATGAGTCCAAAATTTGAGAAGATTCAAAATTATTTTACCAAATACTTATAAATTATTTTACCAAATACTCAAAATTATTTTACCAAAACTATGGGTTTTTGACAGTTGGGTTTTTGACATGACGGTAAAAACCATGGTAAAAACCGTCATGTGTCAAAAACTTGCCAACCCTGTTTCTTACTTTACAAACTGTGAAAATACGGGGAATTTTGTTTATTTTTGTGTTTTTAAATAATGGTGACCTCTCAAAGTGCAATCTATAAGGATGATATTTCAACTATTTCATTTACAATGATGTATGTTCTACTGTTCCATTTTTTTCTCTAAGTTTTTTCAGCTATTAAAACTAGTATCGTTGGTTCAATATGGCTCACGCGCGAGCCTCTTAATATATTGTGTATAATGTGTGCAGTGAAAACAGGAATTTTTTTCTAGATTTGAGTGGCAACCCTGATATACTAAACTGAACTCAGTGGCACAACAGCCTATAGAGGGCCATGGCCTACTGTGCCCATCTCAGTTGTCTTGACCTTGGGCTCTGAGATGCAGGAGCAGATGTTCCGGTCAAGTGGTCAGCCGCATGCGGATCCCCTAGTGCAGGGATGGCGAACCTTTATGCATTTTTTCTAAAAAATTGTTTAATGAGGTCATAGACGTGCCGACAAATAGTTTTGACTTCGTGATTATTGGATAAATAATAATATTAAATACTATCAACTCAAAACTCTTTTTTTACTGAGAAAAAAAAAGTACATTTTGCAATGTCTCAGTTATAAGCGTAGTTCAACTTAAAGTGACATCAGTGTGACTTCCATTGTTGCAGATTAGATGACAAGTAACTTATATTAGGGATATAAGATGTTAGTTTAAGCAGAACTGTTAATTTTTTTTTGCTAGTTATTTATTGTTAGCTTGTTAATTTTTGTGAATTTTAATTTAATTGTTAATATGCTTCATAGTGAACTTTGTGATCGGTGGCGTGCCCAAAATATTGAATCACGTGCCATTGGTTCGCCATCCCTGCCCTAGTGTTTAGTTCCTGAGCATGCTCGGTGCTCGCTTATCGACCCACCATTGGGACGAAAGGCCCAGTCGACCTCGCCCGGCCCGAGGATCAAACCCGGGACCTGTGGCACGGGAGGGCGAAGCACAACCACTCGGCCACTGAACTCGTGAAAGATAACATTTTTGTTGTATTTATTTGAGATAAATTATTGGGTTCAATTGTATGCAAATTTATAACTGCAGTTATCTCATAGCATCTAGTGTTAAATTTGCCTCATTGATTGAAATTCAAAATGTAATCATAAATATGTCAAAATTTTTACTTTTGAAATGGTTATTTTAACAAGCCCTTCTTACTTAATTAACTGATTCTTAACTTTAGATGACTCTGCTTTTTATTGATTTTTTTCGACTTTCGTGTCATTCACTATTTTTGGTTGAAAAATATAAATTTTTATTTATAGTTAATCAAGGTTATTAACAGAAAATGTGATGTTATCAATATTAGCTATGGAGAGCATTCTCACTGGTGTGGAGGGTAAGTGTGTTTCTCATGAATTTTTTTAAATTATTTTATTTCTTAAATTTTATGGATGTTTTAGAGTTTTTAGTTATCTCTTAAACATTTAAAATTGCCTCCAGACATGAGTACACTATTAAAATCAAGTTTGTTTTGAGAATATTTAATTTTATAAAATCTGCACTTAGGGAAAAATTGTTTCAAAATTAAATTGATTACTACATTAATATTTTATTTATACTTAATTTAAATTTGACATTTTAATTAAATTTGAACTAAATTGTTTTAATTTACAAAATATTAGCATATTTGGTTGATTATCAGTATTCAAAAATTAAAAGTTTAGCAGGGTTTAAAAATTTTTTTTGTAACTTTTAATGTTTTTTTGCTGCAAAGTTCATTTCAAGCATTATTTATTGAAAATAGATTTATGATAGATTATGAAAATAGATTATGATAATCTTTAAATAAATTCTTTGAGAGTTTTCCTTTACACTTCACTCCAATAATTTTTAACTATTAATATTCCTTAAAAGCTTTGCCAGAATTTTTGTTAGTTTATGTCAATTTTTATGAGGGATAGTTTAAAATGTGTGTTTCCTTTCTTTTAGCCGTTTAATGGAGCTTGTACATCAAGCAGTTGACAAGCATGGTATTATTATGGTTTCAAGTGCTGGTAATCATGGACCAGCCTTATCTACTGTTGGCACTCCTCCTACATGCCCTACAAACTCAGTTATTGGTATGAATAACGCTTTTCTTTAAAATTGTATTTATATAAATGAAAATTTTAAATGTAAATATTTTCGATAATTTCAATAATTTATATCTCTCATAATGTGGATCCAAGTCTGTAAAAAATAACAGAGATGCATATATATTAAAAATTTTTATCTCCTTTTTATTTACTTAATTTAACAAAGATATGATATAATTATGATTTTATAAACACAGGAGTTTGTTCCTGAGGACCTGTCTACTAAATGTACTAAGCATTTAAGGCTCTTTTTTATATTTGATTTACATTAAAACTTTTCAGTACTCAGGAGTAATTTTATGAATATAATCAAGTGAATCATCATTGGCTCAAAAGCCCAGGGTGGGCCTTGGCCTTCTCAAGAAGTTTTTTCCGGGTTAACCTTTTTCCTGCTAGTGTTTTCCAGTTTTTAGTTTCTAAGACCAAAAGGTCTTTTTCTAGACCATCTATCCATCTCAAATTCGGCCTGCCTCTTTTTCATGTGCAAACTGGTCTGGCATTGAAAACACTTTCTGGTACGATCTTCGTCCATTCTGATAACGTGGCCTGCCCATTTTATTCTTGTCGTTTAATAAAGTTAATAATGTCAAGATCGTTATCTGAGTGATTCAGCTCTAAATTTGTTCTTCTAAACCACATACCATTTTTTTGAATTCTTTCAAAAATAATTCTCAAGACCTTTCTTTCAAAGGTACCCAACCTAACCTCATCGGTACAAGATAGGGTCCAGGCTTCACAAACCTATGTTAAAATTGATCTTACAAGAGATTTATATAATAAAACTTTTATTTTTCTATGAATTACATTCGACTTTATGTATTTTTGAATTCCATTAAAACATTTATTGGCTCTAGTAATTCTCCTTTGTATTTCCATCGTAGAACCCAAGTAAACAGGGCTGTCAACTACCTCAAATTTATATTTTTCAATTTATAAATGGGTGTTATTGAAGCTTGTTTTAGTACAGGGCAAATATTTAGTTTTGTTCTCGTTTATTCTCGGGGACCATCTCGAGAGCTGCTTTCTCTAAAGAATTAAAAGCCTGTCTTAGTGCTATTACAGTAAATAAAAGTGAATATTTTAGTAATATTGTGGAAGAAGAAAAAAATCTATAGTTTTCTGAAGGCAAAATAAGTATGTATTTAAGGCTCTTATTTATTTAGGAAGTGTAGTTCAAACATTTATACTGTTTAGATTTGTAATTTTTAAAAATATATAATTCATGTATTCATCCTTTGACTTTAGGGACCATTTAAAAATTTGCCTCTGATAAAAATTTTTAGCTGCTATTCAAACTTTATTTTCATTTTAAAATTATTGGAATTGTTTTTTAATGAACTGATTGTAGAAATATTTATCTTAATCGCAATTTTTTAAAAAAATTATTGAATATAGTCTTTAAATTGGAATACATTTTCTATTCAAAATTTTTTGAAAACCTTTCTCAGGTTTGCAATATTTACATTTTAAAACTTTATAATGATTGTAACCAATAAAAAATTTAATAATCAATTAATAAGGTGTCATTTACTAATATACATTTGGAGGTCAAACATTAATTGCTGTTGAGAGCCGTTCACTAATTGCTATAACTTTGTTAAATTAAATTACAACAAATTGTAATTTTAAACTGAAAATAAATTTTTTTTACATTATTGAGTGTAGCAATTATTTATTTTAAAGAATAAAAAAAGCAACTCTATATTGAATTTAATTAAAATTGTGCATAAAATGTTTTTACGGTCTCTAATAGTATCAGGAATATATGAATATATGTAGTTTGTTGCCAAAAATGAGTTATTTTTTTCTTAATTTTGTTAAGTCTTCAGCTTTTGAAATTTCTTAATTTTGTGTTCTATGAATTAAGAGCAGTAGAAACGAATTTATTGATCCTCCTAGCTTGAATATGATTTTTTAAAAAGTGTTTGAAATAACATAATTATTAATTATAAGCATGGATACCATATAACCATCTGTGTTTAAGTTGTGAAAAACTTCTTTTTGTTTTTGTACTAGATTCTAACAAAAAGTTTTTCATTAAATTAGTTAGTATTAAGGTGTAATGTTTAATATTGATAGGTAATTAAATAAATCTCAGTTAAAAAATTATAATAAAAATGAAGTTAGTAGAACTATTTGTGTATTATGTTTGGTGTGTAAATTGATTTCTAATTTTCGCAAATGAAAAGTTCATGTTTTTTTACTTTGTGGCACAATTAAATTATGTGTTGATAATGTAAACTTTGGTTTTCTTGTCATACATGATCTTCTAATATATAATAAGGATGATTGTATTCTGGGTTTTTTGTATCATCCCTCCAGGTCTAGAAACTAGGATCAGGGTTGTAATTTTTTTGCAGAATTCTGCATGTCTCAAAACCATTGATTTGTAGACTTCTGCCCATCGAGACTTACAATCCAACGAAATTTTCACCTCTATCGAAAATTTAAAGTAGGAATTAAGTGTTCTACAATAAAGAAAAATTTGTCAGATTTTTGTCTTTTTTAATATTTGAAGCTATGCCAGAATCCGATAACATCGCGATTAATATTCACGAAATTTTAATATCGAATATCGATTTTTGTATTCTCCTGATTTAAAAATTACACACTGTGAATTGTATTCTCGCAATTCGTATTCACGTAATTCTGAAATTCGATATTGCAATATGAATTCACAGGATTTAAAAATCAGGCATCGCAATTCATATTCACGCGATTTTAAAATCCAATGTTGCAATTTGTATTATTCATATTCTTAAAATCCAATATCACAATTCTAGTAAAAACTAAGTATTTTTGTTGAATTATTTACTATAAAAGTGTTATTAAGTGTTAAAATTAGTTACTATATTATTTACTATAGTTCTTTATTGGTAGGTAATTTAATTATAAATCTTAGTTCAAAAAATTTTATTAAATATGAATAGCATATAAATTGATATCTAGTTATCGAGTTTTTGCACTTAAAATTTTCAGGTTTTTTTTTACTTTGTGTCACAATTACTCCTGATATAAAAAACTAAGTTTTTTTTGTTAAAAATGCTATCAATATTTGCTTACAGGTGTTGGAGCATATGTTTCACCGGATATGATGCTTGCTGAGTATTCTTTACGGGAAAAAATACCCAGTTTAGGGTACACATGGACTTCACGAGGACCTGGGTAATTATTACTAAAATGTGTAACTCTGCAATTTTTCTAAGTGCTCTGACTTTTCATGAAATGTTTTAATTGAAAACATATTTCTTTAAGACGTTGACTGATGCACGCGTTTACTGTGAAATCTCCTTCAGGCCACAAGTACTGTTATAGGAAGCGTTTTCTGCTAAGTACTCCCACCGATATTCTAATAATGCGAGTTTCTGGTGGTCACAAGAATAATATCCGTTTGTTTCCATGGTATCAAGTCTGTTTATTTGTGTTCACATCTGTTTCTCATCTTGCCACTTTACAGCATCAGTTTGAATCTTTACCGAGTAAAGAGGATTATAACTTATTTCTTAGAGTCAAATAGAAGTGAACAAGAAAGCTTTTGCGGAACTCTCAATAATTTTCTTAATAAATCATTTTTGTATTACTTTTATTACGATTCAATAGTTTTGTTACTTCTTGTGAAATATTTTTTTTCAAATACATACAAATATCCTTTGTAAGTAGTTAATACTGGTAAAGTAGAGGTGACATGGCCCAATTAGAAACACTGCTGTCACCCGAATAGGGATGACACGGCCCAGTCAGAAACTTTGCTGTCACCCGAATATAGGTGATGCGGCAGTTAATGTATAATATAAAACTTATGTGTAAAATTTTCTTGTTTTGTAAAATAAGGCATGCTTTTAGATTTTTGAAGTAGGTTTGATTTTGCTTTATTTGATTGTCAGCGATTGGGCCACAATCGCTGACACATTATAGCTTATGTGCTATAATGTTTCAAAAAGGACAGATGACGTAAAAGGGTTGTGAAAATAATTTATGACGCATCTTCAATTAATTCCCCATCATTAAAAACAAAAGGGCACCAACAGATTTGTGTTGACAAAATTAAAACTAAATTTAAAATGTGTGTATGAAAAAATCATTTTTCATTGTTGTTCATAGCTGAAGGAAAAATTTAGATTCAAGTTACATCATTGCTTTTTGTTGATGCAGGTGTTTGATCAGTCCTAATTAAAAGTGTTAATAACTCTTCTTTGTTTTGTCTATCACACATTTTCATATTATAGTTTTTGTTTTGATGACAGATTTTTTAAGAGTGCTTCTGATATATTTTTTCTCTTTTGTCATCTTTTTTTTCCCTATCATTAAAAAATGAGTTTGTCAGCTGTAAAGTTTTGTTTTCAGAATTAAGGATAATTTTTTTTTGTTTCTTTTTTGCTTTATTTATTTTCTTTTATTTATCTCTTTTATTTTCCTATAAACAACAATTTTAGCAATAAACCTATGTTTTTTTTATTATTTTTATTTTTAACTTTACAAATTCTGTATTTTTAATGAATTTTGTTAATGTATATATTATTGAGACTACATTTTTTCCTGTAAATTCAGTAATAAAAAGCACTCGTTAAATAGCTATGGTAAACCAAAAAGACAGTTTTATCAGATGTTTTTCCATGTTTTCTTTTCCACTTAGCAATTTAAGTTTTTTCTTATTTATTTATTTTAAATATTTTTATGAGCAATTATTATAGTTCATCTCTCTTTATCATTATTCTTTTTTTTCCTGAGCTGCAATTGACAAAAATTTTTTAAGTGCCGCATTCCATTTCTAAAATGTAAGGAACTATTAGAAACAGATATTTTTGGAACTCAAGCCTATCCTGAATTTTCAAATTATTGATAGTCGAACTTTTACTGTCGTTCTATTCTTTTATTTTCTTCGGATATTTTAAATCAATCCATATCCATTGATACTGTATTAAAATTGATTATGAATTCTTTAAACCAGAAATTGCAAAATAATTCTACTAAATGTGTGAAATTTGTATATTCTATTAAAATTCTGCCAGTTAAATCNGTCCCGATCGTTCCGGATAATCGGTTCCCTACTGTATTAAAATTCTGCCAGTTAAATCATGAAAATCTGTCATATCTCACTCTGGATGTGTTATTCTATTCAAAATTTAGATCTAATGGACACTTAAGTGTTAGTGTATGTGCTCCAGGTGGTGCCATAACATCTGTGCCATCGTGGACTCTTAGAGGTTCTCAACTCATGAACGGAACATCTATGAGCTCACCTCATGTTGCTGGATGTGTTTGTAAGAATAAATTTTTCTTTCACTTTACTTTGTCTTATATTTTAGTAGCAGTTATTTCATTTTTTATATATTTTTATTTTATAACTGGCATTGAACAGCCGACCCAATTTTTGGTTTTACAACTAATGTTCAACTCCGTAGCCATGTAATTTTGAACCCCATCCAGAAGACAAGGGAACTCCTGGATCATGTGTTGGGATAAATTTGCCTTCGTGGAGAACTTTTTTGAGGGAGCTAACCCGCATTTGTGTTACATGGAGAGGAGATCACGAGAACCTCTCACGGTTAGCCTGACAGCAAAGGGACAGTTTTTGAAAGAATTAAATACGAAGTATCTTTGGTAGGCAAAAGATTGATGGAGAAGAAGTATAAAATCTGGGCCTGATGTTATCAAGTACATAAAAACACAAAGACCAAAATTAGTTGGACGTTAAATCAGAAGGCATGAAAACCAAAACTGCAAGAAAATATTTTTATCAAAACCTATAGAAACAAGACAAAGACCATGTCTTAGGTGGATCGACAGTATCGAGAAAGACATCAACCCTTTGAAAATAAAAAACTAGAGGATAGTCGCTAAACAGAGAGATAGTTGGCGGAAACTCCTAGGGAAGGCCACGGCTGTCGCACCAGTGAAGAAGTATATGTTTTCTTAACTGTAGATAACTTAAATCATTTGATTGTGATCTATATACTTGGCTCATGATTGAATTGGAAAACCTGATGTATGCTTACAATCTAAATTTGAGTTGTGTAGAAAGGAAAAATTTCTGATAAAATTTGATTTAATAATTATTTTATGAGTTAAAGTGAGACAACCTAATGTTATTTAAGTATGACTCTTATCTTCTAGTTTACTGGTATGTTTGTTTAAACTGTTTTGTATCACCTAGTGCGACATTAATGACTAACAAGTACAAATTGCTATTATACATTGTTTATAAGATCAATGACTATTATACAGGCTGGCCATAATTGAGACAGAAGTTTTGAAAGCCTGATAATGAGAAAACTATGGAACCAACCCCAAACTAATTTGCCATGTACATATGATTTTTTAAAAGAAGAGAAAAAAAGCTTAAATTTTCACTACCAAGGTAAAAAATGGTGCTGCTATGGTATTTTTGGAATAAAATAGACATCATAAACAGTTAAATTGAAACTTTAAATTTATTTTAAGGTAGCATCACATTTATGTTTACAATTGCATTTTACTCTTACTTTTTTAAAAATATTTTAGCGATCCTCTCTTTCTTTAACAGTAGCAAATTTTAAAAATAGAAACAAGATTATTCAAAGTTAATCTTACTTCAATTAATTTGTTAACTAGTATGACAAAATATTTTGTCATACTAGTTAACAGATTAATTGCTGCAATGGTCATGATGATATTTTTCATAATGGATGATATTACTTATAACCATGAAGTAAACTCCCCCCATTGTGAAGTGAGTTTATTCCCTGGTTAACAAGTTAAGTGCTACTTAGGAGGCAGTGGTTAAAGAATCAGACTCCAGTCCAGAGGGGCTGGAGTTCGATCCTTCAACTGAGTACATGAGATATATATGCTCGTAAAATCCATGGAATTGAAAATCCTGTGGCCGGTCACTGAGCTTGGTACAGCGATCAGGAGTAAATTTCCTTTCCCTTAATATCTGTGTCTGAATTGAGGGAGTGATCTCATGAATGAGTGGTGCTGCCATCTATCCGTGGAGTTCTCATCCAAGACGTACTTTCACACTTGTGGTGTTCTCTTTTCAGCTAAACGGCGCACATTCCTGATTTAATTTGCTGGCCAAATGACTGACGAGCTCGGCTTGTGTCATTGGTAACAACAGTGCTGCTTGTTTGTAAGCTGTGTTTTTCCTTCTACAAACTTGAATATTCTCTGTCATATTCTATGTAAATAATAAAATTCTTAATGAATCCAGGTCATGAACCTATAACCTTCTTTGTCACAGTCCAGGACTTTTGTCTAACAGCTTTTCCTGCAATAGAAAATTGGTGGTAATAAAAATGCAAAGAATCTTCTGAATTTATTATTCCTATTTTATTCCCAAGAAATGGTCTTACAGTCCCATTTCAGTACATGGTTCCGAAAAACCGAGCTATTAAAAAAAAAAATCTGGAATTCCTATGATCTAAATAGTTGTCTAGTGCAAATTATGTTAATTTGGGTTCATCAGTGTTCTTGTTACTAGGCTAAGGCTTTAAACATCTCTACTTTAATTATGGCTACCTTATACTTGTCTAACCAGGTGTGTTTTAAATTTTATTTGAATGAAATGTATAAAACATGTTTCATTGTTTAATTTGTGTCTTTTAGGCTTGTTGCTGTCAGGGCTTCAAGTACAGAATATACTATACTCTCCTTATAGCATTCGAAGAGCCATTGAAAACACAGCTCTAAAAATAAGCAATTGGGATGCTTTCAGTATGGGGCATGGTTTGGTTCAGGTGTGAATTTTTTTTTCTGAAAATAATTTAATAAAAAAATAAAATAGAATAATTTAGAATTATTTAAACTTAATAACATGTGTATTTATATTTATCAAAGCATCTCTTGTGTCTTTGCATGTGATAAATGGTAATTTAGTAAACCTGTTCAGATCTGATGAAAAGAGAAAGAAGCACTTTCCCAGACTGGCTTGATTCAAGAGTATATAGACCTAAGAAACTGATGTTTTTTTCCCCTTAAGCTTAATTTCATCTAAAAATTCATATAAAATCATTACTGCAATTTGAAAATGTATCTCTTAAACTCTGGGATGTATTTAAGTGACAATATTATAATTTACTTCTGACAAACATGCCAAGCGTCAATGTTCATTGTATTTACATTTAAGAATTATTTAAATTTTTTTAATTATTTCATTAAAAAAATACTGAACCAAGTAACAATTTTAATAAAAAAAATTTTAGAGGCCTATTTACTAATTTACATTTGTAATATGAATTTATTAAAATTTTCTTAATTTGCTTAACTCTTTACATGTCTTTATAAACTTAATATAATCAATAATATTAATCTTGTTAATGCTTTGTCGAATATGCTTTTATAAATAACTTTTATTTAAATCTAAAAAATACACTCGATAACCTTTTTAAATAATCAAATTAATTGTCATTGTGAATAAATAAAAATTTTTTACATAATTAAATGAAGTAATTATGAATTTAAAAAATAGAATGAGAGATTCAAAGGTGAATCTATTTAAAATTGTGTATAAATTGTTTTTATGGTGACAAATATAACAAGAGAAGAATTCTTTGTCAGAAACTAGTTATTTTATCATGATCACGTGAAGTCTTTGAAAATAATTTTGCATTTTGTTAATGTATATATGAAGAACTTTCACCAATAGGGAGAAAAAAATTTTATTAATGCGCATAACCTAACTATGATGTTTTTTAAAGTGCTTAAAAATATTTTTTGAGTGCTTGGAAGGTGTTTATTTTTTGCTTCAAAACTTGGTTGTGTACCCTGTATAATTTAACTCTAATTCATTTTACTATCTCTAACATAAACCAAAATTATAAATTGTTAGTTTTTAGTTTTAATGCTATTGATATTTTAAATTTTTTCTGCAAATAACAAATACTAAAGAATATATTTTTGTGCTTTAAACGATTTGCATCAACAAAAAAAAATTTTTAAAACTCTTCTTTGTTTCTTAACTATAACTGAAGGGTAAATGCAGGGTCAAACACTACAGTTATTTTAATGATGTCTATTTAACACAATATTCTATGTAATGATTCAAATCATGTTTCTAATAATTGTTAAAATAAAAAAAGCTATTTATTTTCAATTCAAGTATAACCTTGTTATTCCACCTCACTATATTTTTTGCATCCAATTGTGGTTCTTTTATTTTTCTCTAGTATGTATTTGTAAAATATTTTTACTTTAATGTTTGTTTTATTTCAATTCTATTTTAAATTTTGTTTTATTTAAATAGTTTTAATGTTATTACCTTTAAGCAGTTATTTTTCTTATAAATTAAGTGATTTATTCATTTTTAAACTATTTCTCTTCTAGGTTGATAAGGCATTTGAAAATTTGGTTACTTATTCAAATATCATTGAGGCATTTGTTCGATTTAATATTACATGCAACGGCCAAAGTGGTATCTACCTTAGAGATTCTTGTAAAACAAAGTCGCCGAGTTCACTCAATATTTCAATAGAGCCGGTATTTTTAGGTGATTCAACTGCAGGTACGATTTAGTGTGTTTGTCTCTCTCCAAATTGCCATGCCAAACTCAATTATCAGTTCCATTCAGTCTGACAAATGGATGGACTAAATTTAAAATTTTAGAATTACGTACATCCTTTTTTTTTAAGTACTTTTATTCTAGGAGTCTAAAATTAGAAGAATATTTGTTTTTCACATTAAGTTGTCTCTTTTATGAGGCCACAATGCATTAATAATATTACGGGAGAGTCTCGATTATCAGAGTTAATGTGGACCACGTTAATGAGTATCCGAGTTAATGTGGACCACAGCTAACTCGGATAACCCAAAAACTTGGTTAAAGCGAAGAGCATAAAAAAGGAAAGAGTAGGTATAAATGTAATATGTTTAACAAATGCAAAATTTATACAAGTACACCACATACAATTCATATTATAATTAAAAAGCTGTTTTTACTTAAAGTTATTAATCATTGTTTGTTTTACGTAACTTAGGTGCTTTTCTGCAGCAATGTTTTGCCTTTTTTTTAATAAACAACAGGACAGTTGGTGTTCTTCGATATATTCGATAGCTTTTAGTCCATTTGTATGAGAGTTTTTTTATAGGTTGATTTTCATTGTCACTGTTTTCATCATCTTTGCTAGATTCATTTTCATTATTGACCATATTAACGATTATTTCATCTGATCAAATTGTTAGATTTCGTTTTTCCTGAGTGTTTGGATGATAAAATTCTGATTTTTTTTTCAACTGTAGTTTTAAAAATAATATAGAAAGAAAAAAAAAACTTGAACTCGGATAATCGGGACTCTACTCTATCTTCATTAATGTTATTACCTTGATTAAATAAAATAAATCTTTTATGATATTAATAAAATCATTTTGGAAATTGTCAATTACTTAAGTATCTGTCTCAAAATCCATGAGCTTTTATCTCCGTAAGCGTGAAGTTTATGAGGGATTTTTATTATTTAACATATTACATCAGGATTTTTGCTGGAACGGGATGATTGGAAAATGATGGAAATTTTTCCAAGTTAATTGTGTAAATCTTGAACTTAGAGAAAAATTAAAATTTAAAAAAGAAAAAAAAATCTATCGTTGAAATTTGTGTCAAATAGGTATTAAAACAACAGCAGTGTTGATTGAAAAACATTTTGGTGTTCTTCTCCTTTAGTGGCTATAGGCACATAGATACTGCTGTATAATGAATTTTATGCATTGTCTTTGTCAATTACTGACATCAAAGACAGGACAAATACTAACGATCAGCGACAGTAGAAAAGAACAAGAAAATTAGCAGATCAAAGAAGACTACCTACATGTGGGAAGAAAGAAGACAAGTCTTTCAGAGTGAAGCATCTACCGTATATTCCGGCGAATAACGCGCCCCGGAGTATAACGCGCACCCGTAATTTCGAATTACTTTTTTTAATTTTTAAAATATACTCTTCGTATAACGCGAACAAAAATTTGGATTGTACATGTGCAATATCTCGTCTTTCAAGATCGTAAATAAAAAGTATTTTTCCCTATCTTTTGCAAAAATAAAAGAACTGAATTTGACATGTATGTGAGGGTTGAATTGAAGCAGCAATAATGTGATTCTGGATGGACAAAAATGGTGTTAAATTGTGAGTAAAAAACATCTGGCAAATCTGTCCTGGTTGCGTAAGAAAACCACAAAGCCTTTTAGAGTGGGACATGTTTAGGTCCCACCTTACAGATAATACAAAAAAAAATTTTTTATTATAATACAAAAAAATTTTAATAATTGTAGTTGATAGTGGAAGACGAATATAATGAACTATTTATGTAATAACGAAAATCAATGAAGTATATAGGTAAAGGTATGTTATTTCTTTAAAATAAAAGTATTTTTCTATATTTAAATTTTTTTAATCCATAATTTTTTATATTCGGCGTATACCGCGCACCCGTAGATTCCAATGTTATTTTTTGTATTAAAAGTGCGCGTTATACGCCGGAATATACGGTAGGTTTTATGTTGCATAAATGCTGTTCTTCTCATTTTATTTTATATTTTATAACCGTTATTGAACAGCCGACCCAATTTTTTGAGTTTATGATTACTAATGTGCAACTCCGTATCCTTGTAATTTTGAACCCAATCCAGAAGACAATTAAACACCTGCATCAAGTATTAGGAGAAATTTGCCTTCATGGAGGACTTTTTAATGGAACTAATCTGCATTTGCGTTACATGGAGAAGACCACGAGCATGTCAAAAAGATAAATCAAATGCAAAATTTGCATGTCATAATGCATGTCAATTTTAGAAAGCATGCGAAACTGATTGGTTGATAGCAGCAAAAAAAAAAAAAAAAAAAAAAAAAAAAAAAAAAAAAAATGACAATGAATTGCAATGTAATTTTTGCAAATCAAGTGCATCATAAAGTAATTACTCATGTTCAAATGTCATAATATATTAAAAATATCAGAATTACAGGAACAAAGAAAATGTAGCTAAAAAAGGATCGTAAACATTACAAAATTTATAATAATGGGCTTGTTTCAAACTAAGCGCATCAAAAGTGATAACTTAAATTTGAAATTTGTGCATCATAATAGCACTGTATTAAAAATATTGGACTGTGTAAAACCATGTAAAAATCGCTGATTGATGGAAAAACTATGTATAAATTTCCGAGGGAGCAGTCCTTTTTAATTAATTATACATGCATGTTGAACGTAAATGTATACAAAATGTCTCTTTATGCTATACAGCTATACATTGTACAATCTATTGCATAATATAATCGTACATACAGTATATAATTGTCTTCACTTAAAATCCTACATTTTGATTCCATGTAATCATCAATTTTGATTACTTGTAATCATGATTACAGTTATAATTAAAATTATGAATGTTTGTTGATGAAAATTAGGAATGCTCAACTCTGGGCTGTTGTATGCACTTAAATATAAGATTTGTTAAATTTATGCATGCGCAAATCTTTTCTAAATTTAAGATATCTCACAATTTTACTTGTGTATCCTGCATTTCAATCATTTTTATAATATGTTTTTACAAATTAATAATTATTATTTTTCATGAAAAAGTTTTGCAATTCTGTTTCAGATCCAGAAAATAAAATAAACTTCAATATTCATTTAACACTTGTATGTGATGCTCCTTGGGTTTTTGTGCCTTCAAACATGTGCCTCATGTACTGCACAAGAAGTTTCAATATACGCATTGATCCCAGTGGGCTGCCAGTTGGAGAACACTTTACTTGGGTAATACTCTCTCTTCCTCTCTCTCGTACTTAATAAATATGTAGTTTAAAAAACAGATATTATCTAACCAAGTTTTTTCTATTTGTGAAAAAAAATAATAACGAGTGGTTAAAATTAAACTAATAGTACTTGGAACCCTGTAGCTCTGATTATTCTACTGAACAGATCCAGTTAAAATACATGTTATGTAGATCACACAGTTGAGATTTACACTAAAAAAAAATTCTGATTCTGCATTTTAACCAACTTTGAAAAATAATGTTTTTATGGAAGCATGCACAATATTTCTAGGGAAGTCGTAATATGGTTTTTAATATTTTATGGCTGTTAGAAGTTACTGATTAAAGAATTTTTTCTTTTAATTATTTGTAATTTTCTCAATATTTTTGTATTTGTATCTGATCATAAATTGAAATGATTTTTAAATATTTAGATTAAAGGTTATGATTGCTCTGAAGTGGAAAAAGAACCTGTTTTTCATTTTCCTATCACAGTAATAGTCAGTAGAAAGTAAATATATTTTGTCTTTATTCAAGTTTATTTATTTTATTTTTCTGTTATTACATATTACAGTAGAGTCACGATAATTCGAAGTAGACCAGACCGAGCCTATTACGAACTTTTGAAAAATTTGATTATCAGAAACATGAAATGTAATAAATATTTAAATAAATGGAAACTATGCAATTTTTAAATTTCAGTATTGAATTGAAGAATGTGTTTAAAGAAAATTTCTTTGCTTTAAAAGTCCAGAGAGCATTTATTGTATTGCACCAAAATACATTATTCATTATATTACTGCATCAGGCTAATTGTACTTTAAAATTCTAATTTTTTTGTTGAAACACACTGCTCCTTTTTTGCGCAACAATATTGCTCTATCTTTGAAGTAGCATATTGCTGGCTAGAGTTACCTCGGGCTGCTGCTCCTTGCATCGCTTTGCAAACTCTGGAGTAGCTAATCCTTGACTGTGACTCATTCGTCATGTGAAATCTGCCAGATTCTCCTCTTCACTGTCCTCTTGCATTGTTGGAGCTTAATCATTTCTGTAATGGCAGCATTTGTAAATTATAATTGTTCAACACTATTTAGCCATTTGTCCACCACTGTCATGTCGCTGTTTTCGCAACCTGGAAATGGTTTATCTGGCTGAACATAGGCAAATCCTCTTCATCAATGATCATTAACTGTAATTGTGTTTTTCAGCATTCGGTAGTAGTAATTGTTGTAAAACCGGTCATTGTAAGTGTAGTAATTGTTCTGCGTGTTGTGTGTATATTGGTTATTATTTGGGAACAATGCTGATTTTTTTCACCAGCATGTATGGGAAACTTGAACTAAGGAGACTCTACCGTATTTTGTAGTTTGCTAATAGAATCTTTTTATGTTTTGATCGAGTAAGAAATATTGTTCCATTTTAAAAAAAATTAAAATGCTCTTCTTACTAAAATTTATCAACCCGGGATAACCGGGTCATCGATCGTCGGTACATTTTCAGTTTAGAGATACAAACCTTTTTAATTACTATCCAGACCGATCAACTGGTCGACCAACACTACGAACCAAATTCTTATGCTTGTTTACTTTTGATATTTATTTGTTTAAACCTGTTTGTGCGAACATTAGCTGTTCGTCTTTTTTTTATTATTATTCAACATCATAAAGAGTTTTTAAGTTGCTTTTTGGTGTTGCATCCTGTATTCTTCATTGGTCATTAAAAATATTAAGTGTTTGTGCATTTCATAATTTATGTAAAGTTATCGACAGTTTCCTGTATATGAATCTTTGCACATTTTTTGTAATCAAATCCTTTCGATGCATGGTTATTTTACTCTTTTGGAAAAAGTGTCTCAAGCAGTTTCAGCTCTTAATTGTAGGCGCTTCATGTAGTGTGACATGTTCACGTAGGGTATTGTCATACCCTTTAAACATCAAAAAATGTGCTCAAAGTAAAAGGAAATCCCATTGTAAATAAATATTTTGATCAGAGTTTCATTATAACAATCATCAAAATAATTATTGCTCAGTGTAAATTAACCAGGCATAGCAGAACAAAAGAATTGCCCTTTTTTCTAAAAAAAAGAATTAGAATTATTCTTTTTTCTTAAGAAATATGTGCAACTTGTAATGTTTTAAATTATAAAACTCAGTTAAAAATATGTGAAAGTTGTAAGAATGAGACAGTATTTCTAAAGATTTTATGAAAATACCCTAATATTTAAAAATTGCTCAAAAATCTTAAAAAATGACCTAAAATATAACTAAAAATAAATATTGCAAAAATTAAATAAAGTTCCCTAAAATGAAAAACTTACAAAATCTCAAAAAATGCTCTAATAGTGCTAAATAGTTTTAAAATGCAACTGTGGTCGAAATGCAAATGTCATCAAATTAAAAGTGCCTTTGGTGTTTTGTGTCAAATATGCCTGCAGCAGCAAGAAATAATATTGCACTCAAAGGGTTAAATGAACTTTGATAGAATATAAATATAACATTAAAAGAAAGAGCATTCTACAGTTTTAAATAGGAAAAATATTAGGAAATAAGCAATTTTCACAATAAATGAAAATGTTTTTCAATTATTTAAAAAAAACTGCAAAATTTATGGGTGGGGGGGGAGTAATTTTATTGAAGAACAAAAACAGTTCCCACCTAGAACAAAGTAATTTTTCTTTTTTTTACTTGATGTTGCTTATTTAAAAACGAGCTTTTTCCTGAAAACTCTGTTTAGGAAGAAAAATAATCTAAATTTAATTTCTAGGTTGTGTGAAGATCCATGGAGTTGGAATGTCCCATCCTGTAGTTTGTTTCCTGGAAAAGTAAATAGAGAATTTATTGAAGTTCCAGTGGGTGCTACTGTTGCTAGTAAGGCTATAATTAAACTGTTTTGGTTTAATTCAAAATGTGTTGTGTCTCAGATTAAATCTATTTCTGTTAAGTGCCCTCTTAAATTTTCACCTAAATTTTTTAAATTACATGATTATTTTTTTTTAATATTTTATACCATTGATGAATTATATCAGTCATATCAGACACAAATTCTCTAGAAATGAAAAATTGCGAATTAAGAACCTCTACTAAATACCATATACATAGGTACTACTGGATTTTGCCAGTTTTTCCGGATCAACTGGTTTAATAAAATTTCACCTGGTGTTTGTACATTTTGGAAAATTCCCTAAAATTGAGTAAGTTTCCTAAAAAAATCCCTATTGAAATAGAGATTATTGCTTTCTTGAATATTTAAATAAGTATTACTAATACAAAATGAAGGGAGCCTCATTTATAAAAATCAGTTAAAACTTTTTTTTTCTTCTAAAATGTTTAGTTTATATTTATTCAGAACTCCCTTTTGAAATTAATTTAAAAATCTTAACTATTTATTATTTATTAAATGCTTATTGCTATTTAAAATTATGAGTAAATGTAATGTTTAACATTTCAAGCATATTTAATGCCAATCATGATCGGAAAATATTGAAGTTTATCTATTTGAATGTCTTTAAAAAAACCCTATGTGTGAAATATTTAGTACACTATGCAACAGTTATCGCGACATTATTATTTCGTAAAATCTACTAGATTTTTTCCTATCTATGTTGGCAGCTATGCATATATCTCAATTTGTAAGTCAATATTTCAAACTCCCTTAATTTTCCAAAAATCTAGGGGTCGACTTATGCACCAGTAATAAAATTAGACATTCGTAAACCATAAAATATCAATGCATTTTTAAACAATGAGATAGCTATGTATCGATTAGCTAGATAAACTATCCTTAATGTGTTATATACAGTTAATTTTCTATTTTTTCTCATATTTTCTTTAAATATAAAAGGATTTTTAAAAATAATATTTTGAATTACCTTCAGAAAAAAAATATTCAAAACGTTAAGATAATTTATCTAAAAAAATATAACTCATCATAACACAATGAATGTGAAATAATTTTAACTTGGGTAAATTTTGTGGAATTAAAATTTATGTTTTTCAGTTTTATAAATTTTAATATATTGATATTTTCAGTGGCCTAATTATGTACCTAACATTCCAGACATTTGCCTTCTCATAATCAAAAATGAGAATTGACTCTTATAACAGATCAACCTATACACTGGGATATACGGTAACCAACAGTAAATGTTTAGATATATTATTTTTTAATTCTGAAATTTTGATTTCCAAGAAAAAGTTTACATTGGTTACCATCTATCAAAATAAAGTAGAAAGCAAAGCTTTTGAATGTTTGAAACAAAATATAAAAAAATAAAATAAAATAAATAAGTGAAAAAAAAGTAAATTCGAATGTTCAATAAAAAGCAAGGCTCAAATTCAGTTGGAGATTTTTATAGCACTAACATATAGAGCTTTGCATTGTATGGGATTTTTTGTTATATCATTTCCCATATCATTAACCACTTAACAAGGCAATGTATGTATCTTACACGGTCACGAAGAAAGTTCTTTTTCATATTGTTAACTAAGAATCAGAATATCGAGCGAGTGAGCTATCATAAACATGCAATTTATGTATTAATGAATTTCTAAATGAAAATTCTTTTCTCACATAGACAACGAAAAGCTGGAGCAAACTGAGCTAGCTATAAAATGGGAAGAATTGAAAGGTTAAAAGTGAATAGTTCATATCAACAAAAAGTCCTATATTATGTTTTAGTTATACTATAGTAGGTTTAATAATTTTATCCATTGTTATTTTTATCCATTGAAAAATTAGTATTAGTTGTACTATTATGGTTTTTAAGTACAATTTTAAGAACGGCATGCTCGAAAACCAAGTTATGAAAACATAACATTGTAAAAATGAGTAGTAGAAAACATTGAAAAAATGCATAATTGTTTTGTTTCTGCAAGTTTTTCTATTGCATGTAATTTATTTCAATTTAATTTTTTCTTATTTCACTAACTTATTATGGACTAAAAATTTAATTTTTTTAAAGTGGAATTAGTTTTCAAGATTTTATTAATTAATTTTATTAAATTCTTAAGCTTTTTTGCTAGAACACATTCCAAAAGGCTTAAACTTAGTAGTGAGCAAAACGATCATGGTTTGTAAAACAAACTATAAAAAATTATATAGCGATCGCCGGGGGTTAGAGCATTAGCAAACAGGAAACAAGACCCATTAGCATAAATATCTATCTGAAACTGATCAATATTAAATTTTTAAAATAGTTTTTTAATACAAATTCTTAAAAACACTAAAATAGACACTTTTATATTTATTATTAAAAAAAAAGATTGAAATTATTAAGAGCATTGGATATAATTTCCAACAAATTTATCATTTTTGGTTTTCTTTCGATTCAAGATTATAAGTTAAAGTACTAGTTTATGGAGAATAGCGGTTTATAGAATTACCTTATATCTTCTACTGTAATAATAATAAATTATTTTTGTACATGTCTGGGTCCTAGGCAAATGCCCTGTTAACCCCACCCCTACGACTGTTCTGTTTGTTAAAAGAACAATGTAGTTTTCTCTCTTTAAAGGAGTTTTTGTAGTTTTCCTGCCAAAACTTAATAGTGTAAGGTCATACAACTTACTATAAGGAGGGTACTTAAAAGTTTGCTGCAAGTTTGAACTTTTTTTTTCTGTCTATTCAGGTTTTATCAATTTTTAATCTATCTTTATTGTACTAAATAATTTTAGAAAAAAAAATTCTTTTATTTCATTTAAAAATTTGAAATTGATGATTTAGTCATAATTGACACAAAAAATTAAAATCCATTGTAATGTAATTGAATGAATGTAAAAGTAATGTGACTTTTTTTACAAGTGTCCATCTTACTTAATGCAATTCTAAGAATAATGACAGCATTATTCTTTATGTGATTCAAATCCATCCATGAATGTTTTGCAAGGTCAAAGAATTTTACAAAGCGATCAGACTAAGCTCAAAACAGGAAATGACCTGTGTTCTCCCTGTCAACTTTTGAGCTATCTTTACTGTACTAAATAATTTTAAAGAGAAAAAAATATTATTTTATTTTAGTTAAAAATCTGAAGTTTATAATTTAATCATAATTGACATTTAAAAAAAATAATTAAACTTCATTGCGTTGTGTTTGGATGAATGTAAAAGTGATGAAACTTATTTGCAGATGTCCATCTTACTTCATGTGATTCTAAGAATAATGGCTGCATTGTACTTCATGCGATTCAGATCCGTCCACAAATGTTTTGCAAGGCCCAAGAATTTTACAAAGTGGTCAGACTAAGCCCCAAACAGGAAATGACCTGTGTTTTCCCTGTCAGAGTAAGTGCATTTAGTTTATTCGTACTGTAGCTTGTCTTTACACTTTTTAATAATCAACATCTTATTTTCTGCTTACTTTTTGTTCTTTTTTTTTCCTTTTTTTTAATTTTATTTATATTTATTTTGTCATTATAAACATTTTTGGGACAAATAGATGTAAATTTTATGAATAAAAATTCTAATGTAAGAAAAATTGCCATTGATTACTTTTTTTATGGAATAACGCATATTTTTATCTTAGTTTTCCCTAAATATTATTATCTAGAAACTCTATTTTCCGGACTTACTAACAATTTTGGAAGTGATTTTGATTAAAATTTTTGGTTTCGCAAAATGTTCCGGAAATGTAAAATAATGTTTATCTTAACCTTTGACTTTTTACACAGAATACTTAGAATTGTTACTTTTATCTTAATTCTGTATTTTAATGCTCAAAAAGACTTTGTGAGCAAAAGCAGAAATGTATTTTAAAAAAAGCTACGTAAAAAATGTGAGAAGTAATGCATACAGTTTCCACGTAAAATTTTCAAGTATGTTGGACAATATTTATGTTATAAGTATTTTCACTAGCAGTTAAGGCTTCACAGGATTTACTTCTCCGTTTGAATTTTGATTATTTTTTAAAGCATATCATACAAATTTTTGGTGTACCAATTTTCAGATTTTTGTTAGGATTTTACTTTAGAAAAAATATCATGCAACATATTGAATGGAAATCCCATTTTACAAAATGTAGCTTTTGTAATTTCTTTAACCTTATTTACAAGAGCTTAATTTTTTTCTGTTTTCCAAAAAATTAAAGTTAAAAAAAATCTTTTTTTTTTATGATAAATAATTTTTAACTCTATAAATGTCTATTTATGCATGCATTTTAAGCCACCTTACACAGGAAAGGTTTAGAAAGAAAGGGACACCTTCATCTGGCAATTTAAGATGCAATTGTATTCCTAACGAAAAGAAGCCTATTTAGACATTGCTTTATTTATTCATCAATAACTGGAGGAGATTTAACTTTGAACTGTACAAGATTTGTAAACAACCTGATATTATTAAATACAGGGTTGCCACAGACTACTGAAATGCGACTATTTGCTACTATTTTCGGTCTTAGGCGACTATGGCTCCTTTTTTTGCCTGAAAAGGCTAAAAAAGCAACTATTTCCTGGAATAGGCGACTATTAGGAGACTTCTTTACTCCTAGCAAAGTTCTTTCGCAAAAATGAACTTTACTTTTCAGTCCCCTCACTAACTTGTACTTATTGTCGCCAACCATGTGCGTAAAAGTATTTTTTTTTTTTTAATTTTTATTAAAATTCTTTCAATACTTGTTAGTTTTATAATTTTTTAGATAGTCAGTATCATTTTTAAACAAATAAATCTTTAGTCGATTTTATTTTCAAAAAAGGAAATAATAAAGAAAAAATATTTTTACATTTATTAAGTACAGAATTTGACCATTAGTCAATACTACTTTTTATTATTTTAAATAAAAGAGGGTCTAATGATATTTCAAAAGCATAATTTTTTTTCAACAAATAATTTTTAAAAAAATAAATTTTTTTTTCGAAAATGAACATTTCTTCGGTTTGTTTCTTTTAATTTTTAATTTATTTATGTAAAATATTTTGTTANGTATGTAAAATATTTTGTTATAGTGTTATTTTTAAACCAATAAATCATAAATCATTTTTAAATTAAGAATAATGAAGTAAAACTTGGGTTTGCTTTTACTTTGACTTCTTTATTATTTTAATTGAAAATATTAAGCAATGATATTGATGTCGTAGTGGAATATGTTTAGAATTAGTATTTTCCTTTGTAATAGATTAATTTCTTTTTATTTATTTTTGATTGATTTAAAAATTTGCCATAGGTAATTTTTGAACATATGCTAAATTCGCTATATCGCGATGTATCACAATTTAAATTTTCTGACATCACCCAGTCCTAATCATAATATACGACAAATAAGCTATGATTTTAGTTATTTGGCTACTATTTTTGATAAATTTTTGACTCTGTTCAGGCAACTATTTTCGTAGTTTTAGGCAACTATTTTCCTTCTTGAGACTACTAAAAGCAACTATTTTTGTTCCTTTTTTGCTGTGGCAAACCTGTAAATACATAAAAATAAATAATATGAATTGGATCGCCCATGTGATTCGAATTAGTGACGACAACACAATAAAAAAGATGCTGCTTTTTAGACCCACTGGTAAAAGAAAGCGGGTAAGGCCATGGTTGAGATGGGCTGACTCAGTCGAGTATGATTTTCTCGCAATTAATGAAAAAAATTAGAGATCAAATATAAATCGGAAGTCGTCATGGAGAAATCTTCAGATGAAGGCATTGACTCACATTGGGCTGTCTGGCCAACTGTGATGATGATTTATTTATTCATTTATTTTATTTTATTTATTTATTTTTGTTGACATTTTGTGAATTTATAAAAGCTTCTTTTTACTCCAGACTATCTAAGATTAGGATAAGGCATACTTTGTGCTTTGTAGACTAAAAATACAGAAATGGGCATACAATAGTGTTGGCTTTCAATAAGAACTTTCGTCAGTGTCAAATGAAGTAACAAGTAAAGAGATACGCATGCATAATAGTTTAACCAATAGAGAGAAAGAGAAACAAACTTGAGCAAGTTAATAAAAAGAAGAAACAGGTTTGAGGGGGGGTGAAAGATTAAATTACAATAGATTATCAAGTAATGATAAAGGGGGGGGGCAGATCACTAACTAAATTGTTAGATTGTGTGATTTTTCAGATATCAAGTTTAGTAGGTGAAATGCAGTGTTTTAATTAATTTTTCTTAGCAGAATAAAACTCAAATCTGTGGTTAGAATTCCAACTATGTTGGGCAAAAGAAGATCATTTAGTATCCTGATTTTGAACAGATCTTTCATGTTCTTTAAGCTAAAATTTAAGAGTACGAGTGAAATACCCCAGCCATTCATATCAGCAATAGGGTATTTTAGGTTATGGAAATTTAGTTGATGGGGGTGTAAACAACTTCAAACTTAAATTATTCAGTTATTAGACTTTAAACTCGTATAATTTTGTTAAGGATCTATCTAGTATCACCCTTGCCTATTTCTTGGAAATCTATCCTAATTTTATCCCTTGCCAAACCCCCCCCTCTTCTTATCATCCTTCTTTTTATTATCTTGTTCAAGCTTGTTCCCTTGTTACTATCAGTTAACTATTTAGCAATTGTTTATCTCTTAAATTGTTTCCATCATTTGGTGTTTAGACACCTAAGAAGGTTCTTATTTAGAGAACTGAAACAATAGTATGTCCTTTTTTAAGGTTTTTGTGCTTTATTTCTGTTTTTTGCTTTTAAGCATTCTGTTTAAAAATTATGGTCTCAGCAGTCTTCAAAACACTTTAACCAATTGAAAAACCATCTTATTTAATGGCAGAACATGTTTAGTTGAGCATACCATGTTTCTCTATGCATACATTTTTAAAAAGGGATTTCTTTGTCTATAATTATCTTTATCCTCTAATTTAATAAAAAAATATATTATTTATTTATTTAGGAAAAAATTGTTTTAGAAGTAGCTTTTGCTCAATGGTGGACTTGCATTGATCCTGTGAATATAAGTTATTCTATTTCTTTTCGAGGCCTCAAACCAGATTCTCCAGAAATTGTTATGGTATGATTTTTCTTTTTTTAATTTTTGGAGCATGTATATTCTTTTGATGTAACAAGAACATTGCAGCATCAAATACCTGCAAAATGCTTATCATGATTTGTTGCTTCTAGGATGAATTGTTTATAACCACATATAAATTCAATCAAGAAAATCATTATTATAGTCATATTGTAATCTAGTTTAACAGATCATTATCTGAAAACTTTGAGCTAATGCATAATCAGGTACATGTGTATTTTAATATCATAATAATAAATGTACAGTGCACAAAAAATCCACCACCCTGAATAACTTTTTATCTAATAATCGGACTTACACTTACTGGAACTCATATTTATTGGTTTATGGGGATGACCTCAAATCTGAAAATCAATTTGCAGGAATGATAGTTTATGTAACAAAGTCGCACATGCTTTCCCTGAATAAGCATGCTTTCTTTTTGATTAATTTGGACTCCTTATTCTCATAATATAGGGGGTGATCACAATCTGGTAAATATAGTCCCAATAATTTGGTTGAGCGAATGGTCCAAAATTTGGACTCCCTGATATTAATTTAATTTTTTGTGTATTTTGCCATACCTCAAACTTTCTCAGTTGATCAAAAAAAATTTGCATCTTACTAAAAAATTGGTTTCTCCAAAAATCTCCTTTGGTGTCCGCTGGTCATGAAAATAATAAGTCATGTAAATATCCACTGTTGGAAAAGGGTCACAAAGTAACGTTTTTTTCTTTTTAAACACTTCTGAAAGTGGTAATTCAAATTCGAAACTTGCATGTCGTAGCATAATCATATTTATAATATTTAAATTTGAAAATGGCTGAAAGAACTACCAAAAAACACGATGTAAAAACAATGTGGATTTATGACGGAATCATTAGGAAACGATTGGTTAAAGATGATACCTCGAGCTCGAAATTCGTGTGTCATATTAACACCATATTAAAAATATCAACATTTGAAAAATGGAAATGGACAAGAAACTATGATAACTGCAGAAAAACGATAAGAAAAGGGTGTGAGTGTTACAGTTACCGAGCTTGTCAAAAAGTGATAACTCAAGTTTGAAAGTCACATATCATATTTAAAGTATGAGATTTTTTTTTATTTTTATAAAAAACAATTACCTAATATTGTCTCAAAATTTTGATCAAAGGAGCAATCTGAAGTTTGAACCTTGTAATCTTAATTTTCTTTTTTGCGTATTTTGTCATATCTCAAGAACTTTTTCAGTTGATCAAACAAGATTTTTCACTAAATTATAAAATTTGTTTTTCCAAAGATAATCCCATCTGACTCTCTACTGATGATTGAATTCAATTAATTTTTATATCTTTTTTTTCAATTATATCTTAAATTTTTATCTAAAGTGGGCCTTCGCTTGTCTCATGCATTAGAGATTTAATGAATGATGATTTTATTAAAAGTAGTTTTAGGAGTATTTTGTATATTTATTTGTTTCAAACCCTTTTATTTTTAACTTTTGAGTGAACTTCCTGCCAATAAAACACAAAAATTTTATAAACATAATTACTTTAATGTTTTTTAAGCATGGTGCTGATGGAATTCATCGTGTGGATGTGACCTCCACCCTCACATATGAAGATATGTATCCATCTGCAAGTCTAAAATCATACACAATGACACTCAGGTAATTATATAATGTTCAGAAGATATTGTTAAGTTGATTTAATGTTTTCAAAATTGCAAACTTATATAGAACAAAAATTTTTGAACCAAAAACCAAATCCTTCTCCTTTTTTTTTCCAAGCAACTACCTAAATAAAATTGCTTAAATTATTATTTTTTTTAATATGTTAGTTCCATACTCCTGTTTTTTAACGAAGATTCCTGTATTTTACGACTATCTCCTGTTTACCCATATATTCTCAAATTTCTCCGTATTGAAGAAATCTAAAAAAAAATTGGTGATAAAATATCCGCTTGTGGAAATAATGCTTCTCTTCTTTCTCAACAGATAGTGCTATTGTCAATACTGTAGTTTCTTGAGTGTTAATAGTTTAAGTGCCATTTGCAGTCAGGCTAACCGTGGGATGTTATGTGGTTTTCCTCTCCATGTAACGCAAATTGCATGTAAAGTTCGCATAGGTTTAATTTTATCAGAGTGGAGAAAAGTGCAACATTTATATTAAAAAAGTGAGGAACAGATTAGATACAGAAATAGAACGTTTTCGCTTTGAAATATTTGTCGCTGTTTATTATTGTTTATAAAAAAAAAATTTTTTTATAATATCTTCTTGCTTCTTAATTACAATTCATTCAAATTGAATTCCTTGTCTTCAGCCCAGGTTAGTTCCATTAAAAAGTCCTCCGCGAAGACAAATTTCTCCCAATACTCAATCCAGGAGTTCCCTTGATCTTCTGGGTTGCATTCAGAATTACCAGGCTAAGGAGTTGAACATTAGTGGCCGTAAACCCAAAAGTAGGCTGTTTAAGAACGGTTATTAAATAGTTGAAGTAATTGTGAATAACAGTTTTAAAAAATATTCTTCAGATTAAGATTTATATACATATTTTTTTCTTAGCTAAATGTAAGTGCTTACATAATTATCAATTTTGAATTTCTCTTTTTCACTTACATGATTGTGCATGATGTATAAAAACTTTACTAAACTAAGCTAAACTCAGTGGCGCGGCAGCCCATAGAGGGCTAAGGCCTACTGTGCCCATCTCAGTTTTCTTGACCTTGGGCCCTGGGGTGCAGGAGCAGATGTTCCGGTCAGGTGGTCAGCCGAGCGCGGAACCCCCAGTGTTTAGTTCCCAGGCATGCTTGGTACTCATTTATCAACCCACTGAAGGGATGAAAGGCTGAGTCAACCTTTACCCGGCTCGAGGATTGAACCCAGGACCAGTGGCACGGGAGCACGAAGCACTACCACTCTGCCACTGGGCGTATCAAAACTCAGGGATGAGATTTTTCCGCTTTTTAGCAGATTTCCGCTTTTTTCACTTTTATCTCTTAAAATTTCAGTTTTTTTATCAAAAATTCAGATTTTCTAAAAATTTCTTTTTTTTTTTGAATAAGTATTCCGCCTTTTCAGAAAATTCACCGATTTTCAAGAGAAGCAGAAAATTCAAACTACATAGCTACCAATCCTTTCTCATTTTTACTTATTATAGCTATTTTCTCCCCTTTTACACGCAGCAGATAAGATTTTCCGAATTTTTTACCCGCCCTCCAGATAGATCCGATTTTCATAGTTCAAACGACTCTGCTTCTGACAAGCCTTTTAGAGGTCCCAATCCTGGAATCTGCTAATATCTCGATTATTATTCACACGATTTTAATATCAAACACAGCTTTTCATATTTGCGTGTTGCGATTCTTATTCAGGCGATTTGAATATTGTACGTTGCGATTCTTATTTACGAGATTTAAAAATCCGATATTGTGATTCGTATTTACGCCTTTTTAAAAACCTATGTAGCGATTCGTATTCACGCAAGTTTAAAATTCAATGTCTTGATTTGCTCATGCGGTTTATAATATCAAACATTGATTTTCGTATTTATACGTGATTTTAAAATAAGGCATTGGGATTCGCATTCACGCATTCTAAAAATTATGCATCATAATTCTTATTTATGCAATCTAAAAATTACGCATCATGATTCGTATTTACGCGATCTAAAAATTATGAATCGTGATTTGTATTTACGCGTTTTAAAAATTCTATATCCCAGTTTGTATTTTCTCATTTTCAAAATCGTATATCTAGTTTCATATTCATGTGATTTCAAAATCCATAATTGTTATTCATATTCACGCAATTTTAAGATCAACTATCGCGATTCTTGTAAGAAGTAAATTTTTTTAAAATTAGTTACTATAAAGGTGACTGTTTTTCTAACGACGATTATTAGTATATGTAAGTGTTACAACATCAGAGAAACTGGAAGGGAATATATTCAAAACTTACATTCTGTGCTTGCAAAGAAGAAAAAATAGGATTTGTCACAAGATGTTTGAAGATGGACTAACGACTAAATATAGCAAACATAAAAGATATAGCAAACAAAAGCAATCACTTAAAAAGGGATTTAATAAAAAAAATTTTTTGGGGAAAAAGAGTTAATTAACTCATCATCAAAATTTTATTTATAATTGCTGTTATTTATGCTATAAAATGCAAAATTCTTATCAAATAAAAAACAATTATCTAAACAGTTGCTGATTGTCATGTAATTTTTCAAACTAAAATAGCAATTTTTGTATGTTAAGGAGTTACTATATATTTCTACTTCACTGTTATTGATATGTTTCAGAGGGCTCTAGTTAGATTAGACTATAATATGAACATAATGATTCGGTCCATTGTTAAAGTTTTTTTTCCCAATATAATTTAAAAAGTAATATTACTGATATATTTGCTATAAATCACATAACAGTATTTATTAAAAGGAATGAAATATTAATTTATATTCTCAGTAGTTTTAATTTGCTAAACCAGGTAATTTTTCAAGTAGTAATTGTCTCTTATGTGAACTGAGGAAAAATATAATTTCCAGCTTTATTTTTTCATATGGTAATTTTTTTTCACTAAATGTTAAGTATCAATGTAATCGTTTTTATAATAATATATTAGTACACAATTGTATGTCAGCACATTATTTATTACCTTAAACTGCCTGGAATTTATTATTAAAGGGTTGCACTTGCGTGAAATTTACTATCGTGGAAATTCAGCTTTTTTGCGTTTTGGCTAATCTCATCCCTGAAAACTTTACTAGTAGCCTAAAAAATTTAGTTAGTAAAATGTCCGTTATTTTATTTGTCCAATGTTGGCAGGTATGATTTCCCAGTTTTATCCCCAGCTATCAAGTATGTCAATTCTCAGTTTAATAAATCCAGGTGAATGAAATAATGAAAAAAGATTTGTTCTGACAGAAATGTGTTGTGTCCTATTTTCAGTACTACATCAATATACTGTAAAGTATTCAACATGTGTTCAAAAAAAAAAAAAAAAAAACTTAAGCGATTTTGAATTTTATACATTTGTAAGTTTTAATTATCTTATTGGTTTTAACTAAGTTAGTTGATCAGATATCAAATTAGAAATCACAAATAAATTTTGATTATGCCTCTCTCATAGCTTTATGTGCCCCTCCTTTGCCGTTTTAACACTATAACCAACTTTCCTAGAATTTTGACTTGGCCTACTTTGTAGCTTATAGGCATTTGTGCTACCCAATCTGGCAAGGTCGCGGTGTCATCCTACAATGCCACTCGCCAGAAAAGAAGACTTTGAATAGTTTTAGTGTGTTGCAAAATCTTATTTAATAATTTATTATAATAGCTAAAAGAAGTGTATCTTCACGTTTGGAAACTACAGAGTAAACTCAAAGTAGTAAAAGTTTAATAAATTTTTTAAAAATCTTGGCATTTAAAAACAAATCTGTCTATCATTCATTTCTCAATAACTGTTTGTAGCTAATTTCATGTGATTTCTGATAAATTACTGCAGAAGTTTAATCAAAAGGTTCACCTTTTATCCATTTTCTTCCCTACTTCTGGTACTAATTTATATATTTAAAAGTTTTGAAACTATATTGATATTTGTTGTAGGCCGAACGAATGCAAAATTTCTCCTTTGAAGTCCAGAGATATTATTCCACCTGGAAGACAAGTGTATGAAGCAGTCTTAAATTATGCTTGTAATGTTGTAAGTTCACTCAATTACTTTATTGAAGTATTTCTTATTTAGGTTGGAAAGAAAATATATTAATAATAACTTTAGATCTAATCATCAGATTTTCCAAGATGCAATTTTAATTGTTCTTAGGGTTAACCTTTAACATGCTAATTAAGTTGTTCAGACATTATTTTACGTTGCAAAATCAGACTCATAAACATACTTTTTCTGAATAAACATACCCTTTTTTTAAGGTAACTGAATGTTTAGCCATCTCAATAGTTTATTTGGATGTCAAAAGTTTAGGTCCCTTAAAATGTTTATTTTTGCATCTTTTACCATGTCTCTGGTATTTCAAAGCAAAATTTTAATCTGACTTTTGGTGTAATTTATTTTATGTCACTTCAAATAGAAATGGATAGTGTGTTGCAATTTATAGCAAAGCTCAAGTTATAACATGAACCAAATATTCTGTACTGTAATCCTGATCAGAATTAATGTTCCCATTTTTCTATTTATATTTTTAGATGGAATTGAAAAGAACTTTTTTTTTTCTTTTTAAATTTTGGATTAATTCAAAATCTGAAATTTACATGAATTTCTGTGAACTATATTGTATGAATTTTATTGTTATAACCATAAGTATTTTTATGGTTCATGCTTATTATTTCTCTTGTATAAACATATGTATGGGCTTTAAACAATGATTGGTTATAAGTAGGTAAAGTTTGGAAAGTAAAGTTTAGAAGGTTAGCAGAGAAATAATCTTTACTGAGATAAATTAGTTTAACATTAGAGAAATTATAATTATTCGTACCATTTATAAATCCACAATCTGTGTTTTCTTTTAGTGAGAATTTACACTAACAGATATAATTAGTATATTGTTTTCTCTGCTCAAAATAATTCAGAGACAACGCCAATTCGGTTGCTTTAATCCATCATTGATTTTATTAATTGGTAACAGACCCCACGACAACATCTTCTCATACCTCAAAGCCATTGGTTTTGATACATCAATGTAGATATTTAATAAAAACCAAGTTGTAAGTGCGATATAGCCACAACTGGCTCTTGCGCCAATAACTAAAAACTAACTAACTAACTCTGCTCAAAATATTTCTTTTGAGGATTTTAAATAGGATTTTGACGAGATCAGGAAAGCCTGGAACTGTCATAGAAATTGATTTTGTGGGATAAGATTGGGAACTATTGAAATATAATTAAATTTTTTGGCTGAAGTCTGACATTTGAAAACTCTTGTTAGAAACCTATAAATAACAACTTTCAAAATTCACAACCGATAGGGTTCTAAGTGAATGAGTCTCATCTCTATTTTTATGGAAAAATTTTGCTTTAACATTAATAATTTTTTTTTAAATTTATTACTTAAGAATATTTGTAAAAATTCTTCTTTAGGACTTTTTCTTTTAAACATTTTCTTAAATTTGATATTATAAATTGCATAATTTTTAAATAATCATATTTATAGTTCAATAATACTTGAATTTTAAAAATTAAGCTCGCTGTATAAATGAACTTTGGTTTTTTAAGTAACAAGTTTTCCAAGTAAGGTATTAGATTAACTTTATTCCTTATAAACTTTTTTACAAAAAATTTTTTTGGTTTTCATGCAAAACATTGCTTTGCTTTATGATTTATATATTTGTGTACTTTAGAAGATCTACACGCAATTTTAAAATCCAATAGAGCGATTCATATTCAGAGGGAGGGACAATACTAGCACAAACATCCTTTATAAACTTTTACACCTCTCCAAACATTGTCGAATTCACGTACAATGGATACCCTCACACATAGATATTTCAGGCAATGAAATGGCAGATAGTCTTGAAAAGGCAGGTGCAGCTGAGGCCACTGCGCTTCCAGTGTCTCTTACCTCCTCAAAGCTCTTCTCCATTTCTAAAGCCAAGCATAAATCAGCATAGCTCATTCCACCCAGTCACAATTGGTACCAGACCGGGTAGCTGTTTGACAGCTGACAAAGACTATCATTCTCAAACCGCCATCACACGTCTCCCCCTGTGGACACCTGAAATCACTGAGGTACTCTGGGGGAGAAAAGTGTTTTGCCCTCTGTACCAAGTGCTCTTCGGCCCAGGCATCCACTGGACTGCCTCGGTCTTTTAAAACAAGACTTCATAGAAAGACCATTAATTGTTTTAGACTTTTTGAAGGTGAATAAACTCATGGATCTTGTCTAGCCAGGCTGGAAATGGGGATTTGAAAGGAGAAGAAAATATTCATGCAATATTAAAATCCAATTTCACAATATTCATAAGCACGAACCAAGATTTTTCTTAAATTAGTTACTCTAATGATGTGATATTCTTCGTTGGTAGGTAAATGAATTATAAATCATATTTCAGAAAATTATGTTATACCAAACATGCATGGTATATAAAGTGATAGCTTGTAAATAAAATTTTCAGGGTTTTTCACTTTGTGTCACAATACCCGAAAAATGCCAATTTTTTTTTTCTGTGAATAACATTAAGTTTCATCTGCATTAGACTACTGTTGCTACGTTTAGTTGGTAATGTTAAATGTCTGTGAAATAATCTATGTAGCACAAATTTCTATGAAAAGCACGTTTCAAGGTGTGCATTACGAAGATCTTCTGTGTTATGAAAAATTCTGGATTAAATCTTCAATTGTGAAATTTTAAATTTTTGCAGTGTTCTAATTTTACAGCAATTCTAGTTAAATATTGAAGTATCAGGGTGCGTAGCGTTTTTAAAAAGTGCTTAAAGGTGCTTATTTTCATTGGATGTTTTTATAAAGTACTTAATTTTCCTTTTTTCAAAATGAGATTTTACCATGTTGATTTTCGCTACGAATTATGCAAAAAGACAGAGTTCACTTTGTTCTCTTCGACGTTTTCACCATTAATTTAACCCCAATCTATTTCGGCGTATTGTCAGTTCGTAGCGTATGAAAACGCTATTTGTTTTTCATGATTTTTGACAATTGTCAAAAACAGTGGCAAATTTTTTTTTTTTTTTTTTTTTTTTTTTTTTTTTTTTTTTTTTTTNTTTTTTTTTTTTTTTTTTTGTCATGACGGTTAAAACAAAATAAAACTGTCAATTGTCAAAAAACTTTCCTACCCTGCTTAATTATGATATTTTTTTAGAGTGCTTAAAAATATTTTTTGAGTGCCTTTGTGTATTTAAGAAATGTAATCTGGAAGTTAATTAAAGTTTTCCTGTGAAAGTTAGGGAATTATATTTTTGAGTGAGTATCCTGTTGATAATAATTTTAAAATGAAATATGAATCATCTTTTTCTCTTTTTAATCCAGGGAAGATCTACAGAAATTACTCCTTCATTCTCCCTGCTTTCAGAGCTATTGTATGAATCTGAGTTTGAATCACAACTTTGGATGCTGTTTGATAGCAATAAACAATTAATTGCTCTCGGAGATGCTTATCCATCTAAGGTAAACTAACAACACTCTTAGAGTTGGAATCTCATTACTATACTGTGTTTCAATTCTGCTTTTATTTCTAGTACGCTGTCAAAGTTGAAAAGGGAGACTATGTGTTGAAGCTTCAAATTCGTCATGACGATGTCAGCCTTTTAGAGAAAATGTCCGAAATGCCCATGTTGATAAGTGCAAAGATGCAGTCGTCCATTACTCTTGATGTTTATGACAAACATTCTCTGGCTCTGATTGGTGGGAAAAAAATGAGTTCTCAAATTATTCCACCAGGATGCACCGTCCCAATTTTTTTAGCTCCTATTCCAAATGATAAGTGAGTCAATAATAATCTATTCCAAACTGTTTGATCTAATTCCAGAGACTCCGACTACTACAGATTCTCCCTAGTTTCTGTTAAATTTTTCCTGTTTCTACGAACTACAAGAATTATAACCCATTCAATAGATTTTGATAGGTTTTTTTTGTTGATGTTTTTTTTATCCCTTTTCGAATATTGCACCATCGTTTTACAGATTCTGATATTTTTTACTTATTATTATGAAACAATTTTTTTAATATAAATTACTACTTTTCAACATGCTTGATTCACACTCTAGACCTGAAAATAACCACTCACCGTGCGGCAAGTCACTTTTTCTAATTTTTTTAAAGCCATTTAATCATATAAGTGCATCAATGCATAAAGAGTCCAGAAAACAGAATTTTCATAAAAATGTCCATTATCTTCATTCAAAATTTTGGTCTTTCAGAATTCATCAATTTTTGATGGAAAAATTTATGTGGAAGAATAGTTCTATGACGTTTCACATCTTTCAAAGTTGTAACATATACATTAAATTATTTGTCTTCATAAATATTTTTAAATAGAGTTCTTTAAAGTCAGTATATTTAACTAAATTTTGTCATATGTCATACGTCACCCTGTGGTAGAATTTTTTTGGGCTATCTGCGACATACCTCTCTAGCACTAATACCTTTCTGCAAGATACTTTTAATAACTAATATGCATGTTATTAATTAAATTTAAAGTAACATAAACATTGTATTTACGAAGAAAAGCCTATTTGGATATATTGAAATTCTCTATGTGTTTTTTTTTTAAAAATTAATATGTAATATTTTTTTATTCTAATATCATGGGCAATATTCTCACATTTTGTAAGAGGAAAACACACTCATTATTTCTTTTTTCGCATTCCGTAAATCATAATCACATAAATAATAATTGAAAATCAGTGAAAGAAGAGAGAACCAATTTTTCTCTCCCAAAAGGAGTAAAAAAAATCATCAGTATTTCTTCCCATCTGATGCGTAAAAAAGTTATCTCTTGAGTATAATTGTGGAGGGAAAAAAGTCTTTCAAACATTTCTACAGAAAAGAAATTTTTTGCTTCAATATTCTTCATTTTTAATCTTCTCAAATAAGAATGAAAAAATTAAGAACCCTTCTTTCCCCTGTGATGCATGAAAAAAGCATGTTTTAAATATAATTTTAGAGAAAAAAATTTATTTTAAAACTTTCTTAAGGGAAGTTCTTTCTGCAAGAACTCTGTCACGTCCTGCGACAATGTCGCTGCGATTCTGCCACGGGGTATATTTATATTATTTTTATTGTTGAATTAACTTCTTATTGCGGTAGATTATTTTTAATATGATTTTTTTTTAAATATATAATTTAATTCAATGAAAAAGAAGATTTTCAAAATGTGACTATTGAATGAAAAGGACCTCTCATTATTGGTCATTCACTCATTAGGTTTTTAGAAAAAGTGGCTACTAAGTTATAAGAGTCTACCGGTCGCTTAGGTATGGTCTGCATTTCCTTTTTAAAAAGCTAAGCGGTAGCTAAATCAATTGATTAATCTTTTAAAATTAGTAACTTTCACCTTGTAGAAGCTTTAGAATTAAATACTAATAAAAAATCAAATTACAATGAACAAAGATTAAAATCAATTTGAAATGAAAATGGGTCTTCAGTAACTATCATCATCATTGGCATGACAGGTTATTGAGAGCCTCAGCCTTCTCCACAACATTTCTCCTTCTTCAATAGCTATATAAGAAAAAAAATTTAAAAACCCTGATTGAAGAAACATAAAGATATTGTGTTTGAATTTCTGGCTCTCTAACTGTGTAATCCTTTTTGAGCACAAAATTATGAATGGCATGATTGCATATGAGAAATAATTAAAATACGTAGCATCAAAAAACGTGCTATGAAAATTTCATTTATCTTTGTTATCCCAATACTTTTAATTTAAGACCTAAGTCTGCTGTCACGCCGGCTTGTTTTATAATAGGATTATCTTAACTAATAATTTAACTAGTTATGTCTGATTACTGTATATTACATTTATTTGCATATTTCATTTTTGGAAATGATATATTATTTTTAACTTTATTTCAAAATTAGATACCCAAAAAATTGCAGTCCTGGTTATTATCTTCAAGGAACAATAACATTTTCAAAGGATGACGCTATAAAAAAAGCTGTGAGTATTATTTATGCAAATTATGTGTCTGAGAAAAGGGTGATAGATTTAAATGCATGAATATAATATTTAAATATTTTGCTCCTAAAAATTTCATAATTCACTACTAATTTTTAAGCTGTTTATTAAAATTTACAAGCAATGTAAATCTTAAATATGGCTGGTCCATCTTCTGCAGTTAAATTTTTTTGTGGTTTATCTGTTACTGTGAATAACCGAAATGGGTGAATGTTGACAATCCCATAGTTGCTTTTGTAAATGTCCGTTCAATCAAATATATACTAGGTCTAGTCAAGTGCCACTGCCTGGTATGCCCTACATCAATGCCCAAATAGATCATTTTAGTTGCAGATAAAATAGTAGAGAATATGATATGTTGAGTATATGGTTAGATCTTCTGCGCTCAAAATTTTTTCAAAAGTTCTATATTCTGTTCAGTGAAAACTGATTGCAATGGTAAATAGTAGTTAACTTCGCGGTTTTGATTTGGTTTGAAATTAAACTTCGTTCAGACAATTCAGCCAATGCTTTGCTAACTCTATTCCAGTAGTGTTGATTCATTTATTTCTATTCATTTGACTCTGTCTGTTACTAATACTGTTCAAATGATCAAACATTTTTCTAATTGTTTCTCATTTATTATCATCTTTAAATATACTTTTCAGAGCTGTTATGGATAGAGCGTTCGCCTCCCAATTGAGTGAACCGGGTTCGAATCCAGGCAATTGCTGATTGATTCGAATCCCGCACTGACCACAGTGCTGGTGTGAGGTATCCTCAATGGTAGACCAATCATGAGTTAGGGTCCAATCGTCGTTAAGCTAACCGTGGGAGATTTTTGTGGTTTTCCTCTCTATATAATGCAAATGCGGGTTAGTTCCATCAAAAAGTGGTTCACGAAAGCAAATTTTTCCCAACCTTGATACAGGAGTACCCTTGTTTTCTTGATTGGGTTCAAAATTACAATACTACGAAGTTGAACATCGGTAGTCATAAACCTTAAATTGGGTTGGCTGTTCAGCAGCGGTTATAAGAAATTTGAAAAAATATTTTTTGGGGTTTTGTTTACTGTCCACATATCCTTATACATTTAATGGATTTGTACACTTAATAACTATTATCAATCTTAATTTAAAATAGCCTTTAAATTGAAACTAACGCTATTGTCGATGTCCGCGCCATTTAGTAAATTTAAATTTAGTTAAATAAAATAAAAACATTTTCAGGATACTTACAGTTTTAAATATATTGTACCTGAGCTGCCAAAGAAATCGTCTTCAAAACAAATTGACAAAGAAAAGACTTTGGAGGAGGAATATCAGGAAGAAATGAAACAGCTTAAAATCAATTGGATCACAAAGTTTGTATTTTGTAATATTACAATACTTTTCTATAGATTTATTTCAAATGTATCATGTTCTTTGAAGCAGCAATTGGAAACATTTTATTGATAGTTTGTTTAGATTTATGTTAAAATGTTAACTGTAAATATAAATATATCTGTACATTTCAGTGGCATAAATTGCACCTCCACAAACCGCACAATGTGGGGACGCACGCTCTAAAAAAATAACAATAAAAGTAGCCGCAATAAAAATATTTTTTCGTTGAATATTTATTTTCTCTTTATAATGAATGCATATTATTTGAATATTTATTTTTTACAGGGTGCGTAGCATTTCTAAAAAGTGCTTAAAGGTGCTTATTTTTTATTTAAGTTTTTTAAAAGCCATTAAAGGTGCTTTTTTCATTTAGGGTTTGTAAAAAGTGCCTAATTTTCTATCTTTTAAAAAGAGATTTATTTCTTTGCCGTGTCAATTGTTGTTCTAAATAACAAAAAATTCATGATTTTCACAATTTTCTCTGCAATATTTATCAGAGACTAGTTATTTTATCATGATTCTGTAAATTTTTTGAAAAACTTTTTTAATTTTACTTATTTTATGTTTATAAACTAAAAACTTTTAAGAATGGAAAAAATGATTTTTATTACTGCACAGATCTTAATTATGATTTTTTTTTTTTTTTGGAAAGTGATTAAAAATATTTTTTGACTGCTTAATAAGTACTTAAAAGGTGCTTGTTTATTGTCAAAAAATCTTGCTACGTACCCTGTTTAAGGTGAATGCTAATTCTAAGCTTTTTGAATTAAATTTCTACAAAAATGTCAAATGAAGCAATATTAAATCCTGCCTGCATATTGTATGTTCACTAACAGCCTTGAGGGTGTGTGCTACCAACAATGTCAACCATCATCTATCAATTGGACCTTGTGCCATTAAACCCTACATTCAATTCACTACCATCATCTATCAAAAGGTACCTCCAGATAGAATCGAGTTAACATACTAGTGAATGGGAATTGAATCATTGTAGTGATAGCTACGCTATGTTACTCCTCCACTAGAATTTTATCTGTGATAGAATTCGATGATTGCATAAAGCTAGTTGATTCGTTGCCATTTTGCGAGAAGCCAGGAGAGCTGTATTAAGATTACAGTTGTGAGCGTGGTTGCTCTTGTGTTGCTATTAACAAACAAGTGTGTCGCCGTTGCGTGTGATCGAAACTGAGTAGCGTCAAAACGAGGAAGATAATGTCGAAGTCTCAAACAACAAGTCGACTGTTCACTACGTACCATACATCAAACTAGGATTGTTAAAGCTGTTATTTGTAGCTAACACGCCTTATCAGTCTGTTGAATACAAAATTTATGAAAACTGTTCTGTCATAATGGTCTAGTCTATTTAGCAACCGTAATCATTTTTGTCATCCAGCCTACCCTTCTGCCACATTAAACTGGATAGATAGAAGCTTATTGTTCTCACATTTATTTATTATCATTCACATTTGAATTATTAAGTACATTTTCATGACATAATTTTGCTGTATAAACAAGCTTAATTTTTTAATTGAAATGTCTATTTTTTAAATTTTTGTAATTTTGCAAATTCTTTGAACTCTTTGTCATTTCATCTAATGCATTCTTTTATTTAAAAAAAAATGATCTTATTGTTTAGGTTTGTGGGTACTTCTTCTCAAGAGTTGTTGGATGAAATGATTGAGATAGAAAAAGATACTAAGTGGCCTTTACTATCAGCTCGTTTACAATCGTTGGATAAAGAAAGTGTAAGTATCTTTTTCTCTAAATTTGTGTGTGTTAAAGAGGACATCTATGTCAAAGTTTCTAAAATTTAAACTTAAAATTTTACACAAATTTGAATTTTATAGTATTTTAAATACATATTTAAATTATTGAGGATGAAATATGGAGATTTTTAACACTTTGCCATAACACTCTGCAACTTTAATGTAATAGAAAAGTTTTTAACTCAATTGTAAATTTTTTTTTTTTTTTTTTTTTTTTTTTTTTTTTTTTTTTTTTTTTTTTTTTTTTTTTTTTGCAAATTACATCTATTTTAGTATGTTGTGGCTCAAGTTACATCAAATTACATCTGTTTTAGTTGTTGTGGTGAAAAAGGAGATCAGTCTGTAGGAAAATAAATGAAAAGACTGTAAATAAAAAGTAAATTACCTGTAAAATAATTAAATTAAAACAAGGTTCGTGATTTTTTTAAAAAAATTCAAAAGAATCAGATTTTTTTGATTTAAATCGGATTTTTTTTATTTAAATCAGATTTTTTTGATTTTTATTCAAATACACTGTAAGAACTTTAATTTATAATTNAGTAAATTACCTGTAAAAAAAATTAAAGTATGAAAATTTAATTTCTAATTATAAATATAGTAGAAAGTCTATATAATAAAATTTTATAAATTGCAATTTGCCCTAAACAGGCGCATTAACTTTACAATCTTTTAAACAAACTGAAATTGATGAATTTGTTAGATTTTATTTCTAGTATTTTAAATTTTTTGCATATAAATACCTATGTAAATAATTTTTTTCTTGAGTATTTTATTTATAAATTATTTTAAAACATTGATATTGATCTACTCTAGTTGTATATTGCCTTGTTTAGCAGACAAGTTTATTGATAAGAGAAATAAATTCATATAATGCATCATTTGATATAACTTATAATGCAAAGATTGAACGTTTGTGTTATAAAGTTAGAAACTGTTTTTGAGGTAATTCTTAATTTTATATTAACTCATATATTTGCATTGACTGTCATAATAAAAACCTTTTATGTGTATTGTTATATGCTCTATTTTTATTTTTAAAAATTAAGCTTTTGATAAAAGTTTTAAACTTTCTAAATATATTGTATTGTAAATGTCAACTTTATTTTTAGGATAAAAGTCCATTTAAAAAAGAAAATCTTGAATCTGTTATTGAAATGGCTGATAAAATTTTATCTTCCATCAATCAAACTGAGCTCCTAGCCGCTCTGGGTTCAAAAAATGAAAAGAAGGACAGCGCAAATTTTAAAAAGTAATTATATTATAAAAAATCTTTATCTGTTATTACCAATGTCAGTGAAAGTTTATTTCAGTTTAATGGTTTTATTTTAATATTCCATTTTTAAAGTTTCATTTTTACAATTTATCAATTGGGTGTGTTTTCCTTAAAGTTCTTATCACAGGGCAAGACATAACTATGTTGCACTTCATGTTTCGTGTGTTTTTTATTCTCATTTATTTCAATAATTTAGTGACTCTAACAGGGTTGCCACTACGCAGGCAGAATAAGGAAAACCTGTAAAATACAGGGAATTGTGATATTTTTTTCTTTACAAACTGAGAAAATACACAGAGAATTTTGTTTCTTATTTTCATCTTATAAAAAATGGTAACCACTCAATGAGTAATCTATGAGATATTTAAGGATGATATTCCAACTATACTAAACTATTTCATTTACTATAGCATTATTTAAGTATGTTCANTTAACTTTTATTTTTTTTTTTTTTATCTCAAAGTTTTTCCAGCAATTAAAACTAGTGTTGTTGGCCCAATATGGCTCACACAAGAGCTCAGTTATTGTGTTTCCTCTAAATATATTGTGTATAATATGTACAGGGAAAACACTGGCAATTTTGTTTTCCAGATTTGAGTGGCAACCCTGTCTGAGGAAGAATTAATAATTAAATTTAGGGAATCCTTAAGTTGAGATTAAGAAAATTTTTCTTTGCCTTGTCGATTGTCGTTCTAAATTGCTAAAAAAATGCATGATTTTCAAAATTTTCTCGGCAATATTTATCAGAGACTAGTTATTTATCATTATTATGTAAAATTTTTGAATGTGTTTTTGAATTTTATTTATTTTATGTTTAGAAATTAAGAACTTTTAATGATAGAAGAAGAAAAAATTTTCTTAGTGCACAGATCGTAATTGCGATTTTTTTTTTTTTTTTTTTTTTNTTTATTTTTTTTTGAAAAATCTGGCTATGCACCCTGTTTAAGGTGAATGTCATTCCTAAGGTTTTTTTTTTAATAAAATTTATAATTCTAAACATTTCTTTCAGACTTGAGGTGCAGAAGAATTGTGTTATTGATGCATTGGTGTGTAAAGGAAAGGCTATGATTGATTTAGTTACATTGCAACCAGGTTATGCTGAAAGTAGCAAAGAAGGAAGTACTGAAACTTCACCTGTTGAGACTTCTGTTGGAGATTCTGTAACTGTTCCTCCTGAATTTTCTATACCTTATGAGAGTATCGATGCAATAATGACTGAGCTTCAAAAGTGGACAGAAATGAACGATGCTAAGGTTTGTTTAGCCTCCAACAATCTTGCTTATACAAAGTATCATTCACATTTTTCTTCTTAACTGTTGAGTTGAAATTTTTTTTATTTTGTTTTGTTTTATAGTGTAAAATGAAACTCAATTTTTTTTCCACTCAAAAATTAAACTCTAATCCGTCAAATATTTCCCCTTCTCCTTCATGACCTTTTGCCATCTCTTTGGAATTTTCATGATCCGCTTCTGTTAAAACTTCTGATTCTTATCAGAAAAAAAACTCGGTTAAGATTGTCATTATTACTGAAATTTTTATCAATTAAAAAGTTTTCTGAACTTTGATCTAAATGATTATCTGATAGTGCAAGGTATCTATATATCAAGATGATATCTATTGAGTGGATCGCATCTTGCAAAGCAATCGTGTTCGACCGCAGCAGTCGGGAGTGATTGTATTCCGGAATTCTGGGTTTTTCATATAATCCCTCCAAATCTTGAAACTAGTAGCAGGGCTTGTGATTTTTTTCATGGAATTCTACGTATCTCGAGACCATCGATTGGAGGAGTTCCGCAAGACAAATCTTATAATCCGAGGAAATTTTCATTGCAATTTAAAGTAATAATTACATTCTGCAAATTTGGAAACCTTCACTAAATCGCATTAACACAACCTTTTCATACACGTGACTCTTCCATGATTTTATTTTATTCTTTCTGATTTTTATGTTTTACTGTTTGAAACTAAGCCAGAATCCTCTTATTTTGCTATTCATATTCACGCGATTTTAGTATCTATCATCGATTTTAGTATTTACCTGATTTAAAAGTTATTCTTTGCTAATCGTATTCATGTCATCTCAAAAATCTTACATCACGATTCATATTCAGGAGAGTTTGAAATCCAATGTTGCTATTTGTATTCACTTTATCTAAAAATCATGCATCGGGATTCTTATTTTCGCGACTAACAAAATCCATATTGCGATTTGTATTTTCGCGCTCTTAAATCCAGTATCGCGATTCATATTCACATGATTTAAAAAATTCAACATCACGATTCGTGTAAGAATTTAACTACATTTTATCTTGAATTAGTTACTATAAAGGTGTTATAATATTCTTTATTGGTAGGTAATTTCATTATAAATGTTAGTTCAAAAAATTATATTAAATATGAATATAGGGTTGCCACTCCACAGGGAAAACCTGGAAAATACTGGGAAATTAAAAATCACCTAAAATAAACATGGAATTTTGATTTTTTTTTTTTTTACAAACTGGGAAAATACAGGGAATTTTATTTCTTATTTTTGTCTTTTGAAAAATGGTGACCACTCAAAGCGTAATCTAGGGCATATTTAAGTTATGTTCAGCTGTTTTTCCAGCAATTAAAACTAATAAATAAAGTTAGCCCAATCTAATTCACACAAGAGCACAGTAATTGTTGTGTTCCTCTTAATATAGTGTGTATAATATGTACAGGGAAAACACAGAGAAATTTTTTTTCCCGATTTGAGTGGCAATCCTGGAATAATAATATATATAAATTGTTGTTATCAGAGTTTTCAACTTTGTGTCACAATCATCCCTGAAGAACAATGTCATTCTGACAGAGTCATAGAAATCTTGTATTACGAGGGTTGAAGTTTCTTATAGTTAAAAGAATGTCATCCCCTTCATTATTTTGTGCAGGTGTACTGATGAACTGCATGTTTCCCATAACTGAACAGATTATCCCCAATCATGCACAAAACTAAAAGAAATATACGAAGCACAGTTTATAAAGCTGAAATAATTCAATTTTTTTTCTTACCGATGGATTTATGTCATTAGATTAAAAAATATGTGTTTTTAATTGTCCATCCCATCATAATAAATTAACTGCATTCAGTATCCTTTGATTGATGTCTTTGCTTGAGACCAACTCATGATAGTCAAAATTTAGCACAATCGGGCAGTTTTCTCCTGTACTTATCCCTTTCAAGGACCTTTTCTTTCCACAGTATATATGTGTATATATATATATATTTATATATATTAAAATTGCACCAATTACCAAAACTCCAAAAGTGCCCATTATCAGCATTAGTGTCAATAATAATATGGCAATTTTTTACATTTCACCTAATCAAATTAGTACCATTTCTCCATTAATTTTGCTCTTTAGTAGATAACTTATTATTTTGCTTCAATTAGTAACTATCATTGAAATTAAACATCACTTTCACAAATGAAAGTAAAGAGATTTTTTTTACAGTTCCCTTAAATGTGTACAGTTTCACCATTAGCTTTGCTTTTCAGTAAATGGATTATTTTTTTATTTCAACTAGAATCTTTTATCAAAATTAATGAAGCATCATTTGTGTCAATAATAGTATGATGATTTTTTCTGCTTTTCCCAAATAACTTGGTATTATTTCTCCATTAATTTTGCTTTTTAGTACATAGCTTATCTTTTTTTAATTTAAATTTGAACCTAGTGTTAATAAAGCTTCATTAGTGTCAATAATAGTATGATGATTTTTTAATGTTTTTCTTAAACTAATGAGTACTATTTCTCCATTTATTAAGCTTTAAACTTTTGTTTCAAATATTATTGATTTAAAATTATTTATTTTATATAATCATCTTAAAGACATAACTATAAACATACGGCTTTAGATAATTTTAGAAATGCTCATTTATTCATGTAATCTGCCTATGCATCCGTGTTCATCATTGAGTTGATCTGACATAACGAATAAAAAATAATTAAATATTTAAGAATGTGCAATAAACATCTTGATTAATAAGAGCTATAAGCAAACAATTGTCGCTAATGCTATGCTAAAAATATTTGGAAAAAAAACAAAGTCGTCTGCATTTTAATTTATATCAGTGGTGCGAGTTCTAAGCCAATGAGAAAATTCCCTTTTTTAAATGTCTGTCCCATTGAGAAACTCATCATTTTATTATTGTAGATAGTGTTTGTGAAGAAAGATTTGCCTATAGGGGCACGCATTTGAACTACTTAAAAAATGTTTTCTAATTCTTCTGCATAAGTTAATTCTTTAGAAAAAAAATTTCTTAATTATTGCATGAATAAATAAATAAAATAAATTATCAAACGCAATGGTAAACTTGTATTTTGCTGTTTTAGCTGTTTAAGAAAATTATGAAGTTAAATACAGTAGAGCATCAATTATCCGAATGCCAATTTATCGATTGTTCAATTATTCAGATTGTTCATAGGCCACGTGTTTTAACCCACTTTTTCCACACAAAAAATTATTTTGCCAAAATGCTTTTTTTTTTCAGAATATCTAAAAGAAGTAAAAAATTCTTTAAGTTTCTTTTGTCCATTGTTAACCTTGAAAAGAACCTTTTCCTTCCTTCTTTAGTTTCAATGTAGGTGACAGCTGGCTAGTATTTTCAAGTAAGAAACCCCAATCTTTATTTCAAGAATTAGAAAAAAGTGAAGCAAGTTTTGAAATGCTCTCTCTCTCAGTCTTGAAGTACATTTTGTTGGTCAATTTTGTAAAAATTAAAATGTTACAAAAGTTCAATCTTTTAAACGCACCATTTTCAGTGTGCTATAATGAGTTCTGTTAGGATAGCCAGTTTTAAGTCTGTAAAAAGTGCAAAGAGAAGATACTTAATAATTTTCTCATAACCATTTTTTACAGTTGTTCAATTATCTGGATCGGCATTGATTCCAATGGGTCGTTTTAATCTGCGCTCTACTGTTTAATTAATCAATATTTTTAATTATTTACTAATTATTAAAAATATGAAATATTAAATTGGTAACAATCCATGAAATTTCAATTAATTAAACAATGAATTTAAATTATTTAAGAGATAAAATTTAATGTTTTTCTTTTAGATTTCTGCTTTGATTGAGAGACATTCTCTTATTCATTCTCACTTTGGAAGAGCTTTGAAATTGCTACTCAAGCAACAGGATGATAGAAGAAATAAAGATAATGAACTTAAAATCATCCAAGTAAGTTACTTTATTTTATGCAAAAGATTTATCTTTTTACGATAAAAATTGTCTTGTCAAAAGCTATAGAGAAAACTTTTTCGAGTCTAATCAGGAATCTTTGCTAATAATGAATCCTTCAGAACTAATACTTAGAGTATAAATAATATTCTATGTTAGTCAAAGAATGTTAATGCAACTTATTCAGTTCATTATAGGAAGTGTGAAAAAACTTGAACCTTGTTAAAAATATCTTTAAAAAATCTCCACTAGACAATTGTTTTTCATTTGCTAAAAATTCTTGTTTTTTTTTTCCCCCTTCTTTTTTGGTCTGATTTTTAATAAAATATTTTTTTGCAGGAAATTAATAAATTAAGCTTAAATCTTTTAATAAAATTAAGTTTTTTTAAAAAAATAGCTAAAAATTAACTACATAAACATTTGGTTAAAAATGCTCAAACATTTAAAAAAAACTTCTACTTTGTAAGTTAAACAAAAGCTACAGGGTTTTTAATCTAAATAGAATGTTCCTCAATCTTAATAAAATGTTTTTTGCCAAAAATTAATGAAATTTAACCTAAATCTTTTTTGAAAAATTTAATTTTTAAAAAGAAAACTTTAAAAATTAACTACACATAAGTGTTTGATTAAAAATGCTCTATGTTAAAACTTTTATCAATCTGTATAACACACAAAAACCAATTGTGAAAGGATTCATATAAGTTATCATAGTTGGTTTTAAATTACTTTTTTTGCCAACGAAAAATTTATACACACAAATGTTTTTTAAAATAATAGAAGCAAAACTAGTGAGATATATGGCCTTCTATAGATAGGGCTAGTGATGACACAGTCCATCACCAACCACTCTGAGTGTTCCAATCATTGTGTTGAACTAAATCTTTAGCATTTCACCTTGCGTTAAATGTATAGTGACAGATGTTTCTTGTCAAATTTTTAGAACTAAATAACTCATTTAACTATAATAAAGAGCTAGTTTGGATCGAAAATAATCGACTTGATGCAATACTATCATTGATTTTTAGTTTATGAATTGTGAAATTGAAGAAAAAAAAGGAAGGATTGGTTATTAGTTTCAGATTGTAAAGATTATTTCGACTTTTACCGAATTACGATTTCTCTATGTATTTTAACTCAATTTGCATGATATTAAATTAAAATATAGGTATTTTGGTGCAACATCGGTATTGCTCCTAATACTTTTTACCATAAATTAAAATGTGGATTTTATTTATTTATCTTAAAATTAGAAATTTTCTTACCAATTTTAAATTTATAAAAAAAAAATTAATACCAAAATTATAATGGGAATCTTTAGAACCTTTTTAAGGTACTGTAGCAGGTAGTGTCAAGGCACTTGACATGCACAAATGTTTTTAAAATTTTATTATATTTTTACACTAAAAACTTTATTATTTTAAAAGTCAAAAATGAAACATTCTTATTACTTTTATTTTATTATTTTGATTTTTTTAATTTATTATTATTTTTTTTATTATTATTATAATTATGATATAATAGATTATGCCAACAGTATAATATTCTGCTTTAATTTTTCATATTTTTTTTATAATGATTTTATTATATGTTGCCTCATGAGGAATATATTTTTAATTTTCAGATATTTAAAAGACTTGGTTGGGATCATTGTGCTACATTTTATGNACTTATGAAATTCTATCTAGAATTTTATATCTCAGGCTGTTACCATTCATTGACTCACAAATAGGAAAATATCAATGTGGATTCCGTGCTGAAAAATCAACTAAAAATCAGATATTTTGTCTCCGTCAGATTTTAGAGAAATCAATGGAATTTAACATTGAAACACCTTTTATTGATTTCAAGGCTGCTTTTGATAGTATCAATAGAAATTATCTTTTTGAAACAATGAATACTTTTAAAATACCTTCAAAACTCATTAAATTGACGAGACTTACGTTGAAAGATACAAAGTGTAAGATTAAGTTTCTGGGGTCTCTGTCAGAAAATCTTGACACATTCACAGGTGTTCGACAAGGAGATTCTCTCTCTTGTCTACTTTTTAATATTGCACTTGAGAAAGTTATTCGTGATTCAGGCATCAATACCAGTGGTCACATTTTTACTAGATCAGTACAACTACTTGCATATGCTGATGATGTTGATATAATTGCTCGTTCCCTTCCTGCTCTGAAAGAGGCATTTCTTGCCCTTGAGTTGGCTGCAAGGCAAATGGGCTTGGTCATAAATGTAGATAAAATAAAATATATGTTATTCTCAAGAAACAGAGTCCCAGACCCCTATCTTGAAATAAATTCTTATAGATTTGATACAGTGAGGAGTTTTACTTACTTAGGATCAATTATTACCATTGACAACAGAAGGATCAATTATTGCTATTGACAACAGAATTACTTCTGAAATAAAAAACCGACTCTATTTGGCGAATAGGGCTGTCTATGGGCTGAGAAGATTTATTAAATCTAGGTTCCTTTCTAGAAAAGCAAAGTTCTTAATCTTGCAAAACTCTTGACATATGCTTCTGAAGCTTGGACAATGACAAAACTGGAGGAAAATTGTATCACAATATTTGAGAGAAAGATTTTTGGAGTATACTTGGTGGTGTAAATGAAAACAATAACTGGAGAAGGAGATTTAACTTTGAACTGTACAAGATTTATAAACAACCTGATATTATTAAATACATAAAAATAAATAGAATGAATTGGATCGCCCACGTGATTCGAATGAGAGACGACAACACAATAAAAAAGATACTGCTTTTTAGACCCACTGGAAGAAGAAAGCGGGGAAGGCCGCGGTTGAGATGGGCTGACTCAGTGGAGTTTGATTTTCTCGCAATTAATGAAAAAAATTGGAGATCAAGGATAAATCGGAAGTCGTTGTGGAGAAATCTTCAGAGGAAGGGCTCACATTGGGCTGTCTGGCCAACTGTGATGATGATGATGATTTATTTATTCATTTATTTTATTTTATGTATTTATTTTTGTTGACATTTTGTGAATTTATAAAAGCTTCTTTTTACACCAGACTATCTAAAATGAGGATAAGGCATACTTTGTGCTTTGTAGATATAAAAATGCATATTTGATGACTTCTACAATCACAAATTTTTGTTAACAAAAATTTAAAATAGCTCATTAAGCTTATGCATTAGCTAAATATCTTAATGATTATTTGAAATTTTAATTTTAAAACAGTAAAAATTTAAAGAATAAGACTGTATGAGATTATTTATACACATAAATTATCCAGAATCTCCAAAACTATAAAAAAAAAAAAAAAGATACTCATATTTTGTGAGATACCATCGCAAAATGTTAGTTATTTTAGTAATCTTTAAACTAGAGTTAGACAGTTATTATTCTGACTAAGGTGCATTGAATGTTAATACATATATAAAATTTTTTAAAGCATTTTGAAATGTGACAGATAAAGTGCTAACAAAAGGAAATTAATTAAAAATGGTCTTTAACAGTGCAATCAGTGTGTAATAGGTCTATAACAGTTCAATTGCAGAGGATTGGAATTTTGGGTGGGGGGTGGGGGGGGAGATTATTAAAAATAATATTCTGTTTTAATTTTTCATATTTTTTTTATAATGATTTTATTATATGTTGCCTCATGAGGAATATATTTTTAATTTTCAGATATTTAAAAGACTTGGTTGGGATCATTGTGCTACATTTTATGAAAGAAGTCATCTCGTTAAATACCCTTTATCTTATCCATTATTTTAATGTTTAAAATCTTTAACAATTAAATTGATCTGTCTCATTAGTTTCCATTGTAAAATGCACTTCTTTTTGCATAAATGTGTATTAATATAAAATTTTATATGCATAATACTGGATGTAAAATATATTTCTTTTTATGAAAAACTTTTTTAATGAACAACTTTTTTTATTAAAAATAAAACCTTATATTTTTGTGTAACAATGTCCTCTTTAAGGTTGGTAATTTATGTTCAATNACAAAAAAAGTCCTTAATTTTTTTGATAAAAGTCCTTAAAAGTGCTTAATTTTTGCTTTGATAAAAGAGTGGGAACCCTGTATAACTATTTAGTTTGAGTTTAACTCAGAGTAAAAATTCTGTCTATATAATAAGGACATAAATTATTTCTAAAGTTTTCTAATAAATACCTTTAAAAAAGTATTTTACAATTTAGCAGACTTCAAATTTTAATCGGGTTATGCATGACAATTAGCAAGGCTGATTGAGGGACAATTTCTTTGACAAGTCAAAGTGAATCTGGTGGAAGACAAGCAGTTGTATGTAGCATATATTCTAGGGTAAAATCGATGGGCAATTTTGCAGCCAGATGAATGTACAAAAAATTACGTTTTAACAGGAAATGTTGAGACAATTATATCTCTCAACAGATCCTGAATTAAAATAATTTTAAAAAATGTCCATAGACTAATAACTTTTAATCTTTCCATCTAAACATTACTTTGTTTATCTTTCTGTTAGTGACCTTCGTTTATCGAGAAAAAAAACTCTTTTACAACGGTTAAGGATTTTCCCCACTTGTTTATTACCCTAGGCCAGGGCTCAAAGTTGTCCTTAATTATTAAAAATTTCAATACATGTCCTGAAATGTTTGTGTTTTCCTAATGGTTGTTGAAGTTAACAGCAAGAGTAAATATTTATCTAAAAAGGAATTCAGAAATGTTTTTATATGCCATGAAACAAAGTATATAACAAAATGACTGTCTTCATAGCTTGTCAAGTATTTTATTAGTTTACTTCTATTATTAGAGACCCTTGACTTGATGGTACAGGACATTCTCTGTGAGAGAAATATATAAAAAGCTCTCTTCTCTCCCTGTATCACTATATCACTCTAAAGATTTTCACGAGAGAATCCTCGTATTTTGCTACTATTTAACGATTTTCCGTTTTTATACTATCTTCCATTTATGTATAAATGTAAACAAATAATCTATCTTCTATTTATATACAAATGTATAACAATGTAAACAAATTTTTTGTGTAACTATTTTTTATAAAAAAAAATCTTGAGTTTCCTTAAGAATATTTTTATTTATTTATTTTTTGCTTAAGTGCTCAAACTACTGAAACTATTACCATTTGTGTATCTGCAAATCCATGTTGGTATTAATAAATAAATTGCTACCATTAGAGAATCAGCATCCTTAAATTTGGAGGTAATTTAGTCCTTAATTTTTATATTTTGAACTTCCAGCCCTACCCTAGGCCAAGACACAAATCAAGGTTCAAGTTAGGGTTGTTCTGAATAACCTCCCTTTCTTCTCAAACTAACCTACATTTATGGATTCTTTCATTTCGTTTGCCCCCCCCCCTCATGGAAGTTTTTTCTTATTGTAAGAAGTTTAGCACTCCTTGCATCTTTGGAAAACAAAAGAAAATTCTGTTTTCAAAGAAAAAATGGTTCCCTTAGTTATTAATGCTACAATCCTAAGCAATGTAGTGATCCCTCTTCTCATCTCAGTTGAGTTATTTGGTTAAGTGGGTTGATTTTCAATATTTTAAGCTTCCAACTTGAAAGTTAACTTCTTTAAGGCTCGTAATTAAAAGGTAAGCAATGTTAGGAAAGGGGCCGTTCAAAAAGCACGTACACAAAAATGGAGAAATTTTAACCCCCTTCATACATTACCGTACATAAGGTCTTACCCCTCCCCCTTAGAGTACGTACCTTTTATTAGTCTACCCCCCTTTTTCATAAAAGTTAAAATAATTAAGTTTTAAATAAAATTAAATATTTATTTTAAATAATTCATTCATTTAAATTATTTAAGCAGTAACTCCCAACTTTATCTTTGAATCAATAAATAAAACAATCTTATCTGATAAACATAATAATTTCCTACAATTAATCTACAGGGGGAGGGAAGAATGATGGGGGCGCCCACGAAATGGAAGGTGGAGAGGTTTTGGATTTCGAGGCGGCATTGCTGTGATTGGAGGAGGATGTTTTCACCCGGTACCAGAAAAAATTTTGGGGAAAGTTTGGTGTTTTCAATTTTTTATTTTGCGAGGCAACTTTTTTTGAGAACTGATTTACTCATTCTAACAAGTGGTCGTCGTGAGTGCTTAATAAGCATGTATCAAACCATTTTATTTGTTGAGGGAAAAGTAAGTGGTTGCGAGGGTAATTGTTTCTGCCACTTTCGAGGTTTTTCAGTCCAATAAACTGTTTAATTATTTTAATGCGACTTCTGCTGTGATTGTCTTCAATACTAATTCGCTTGATTTTCGTAATAAGTGTTTATTTATCTTTTCTTACTTAAAACTTAATCTGCAACTCCTTCAAATACTGACCACTTATGAGAATACTAAAAAGAAATGAAGAGCAGCAATTACGGATATTTTGAATTAAATGTATTTTACTATAACCAACCGCGTTTTAAAATATATTTGCACATTTTTTGAATATCAGCATTTTAATCAATTATTATTGACAGCAAATGTAGGGTATTTTTACATATTTTTTTTACCTCACATGATTAAAGGAAATTGTTTTTAATGTTCATATTTTCATCGTGGCTACTCAAACAAAATGAAAGAGCTCACATTTTGAAACGACTTTTAGATTTTGTAAAGGGCACAAATTGTTATTTTACCAAGGGCGCACTCTAAGTTAGTTACGCCACTGAGTTTTAATGAAATATTCAAATTCAGCATGTCTATATCTCATCAACTTAACAAATATTATATAAATCAGGACAACACATGCTTGCTGCAGATAATAATTTTATAGAAATTATATTTGCTAGGAGTAAATTTGATAATTACAATGTGCAAAACAAAAACGTAGCACCCTAAATAGCTTTTGATTAAGTGATTGTATATTCACGTATTCGAATTCATTCTTAATACAGTCAAACCCCGCTATAGTAAACACGGTCTATAGTGAACTCCCGGATATAGTGAACGAAATGTTCGGTCCCATGTCTTGCTATACACGGATAATGTTATTTTTTGCAGATATAGTGAACCAAAAAAGTGAGGAAGTTGGATATAATGAACTTTTTTCTGTCTTCAACTGGTCTTTTTTGTAATAATTTTGAAATTTCTACTTTAAAAAAAATATATATGTATACCGATTTTCAAAGCCATCTATAGAGGGGAATGTAGCGATAAGCATTTTTTCTTGTTTGCTTCTTTTATCTCACTTTCCCATCCCTAAACAAACAAAGCAGATGTTTCCAACCCAGGCAGACGATGCCCCTGTAAGGCGTCAGTCGGATCAATATGCATTTTCTGTCAGGGAATGAGCAATTATTCATTATTGGTCAAAGGGTTGGACACTAATATGTGCTGATAAGACCCTCATTTCAACTCCTTTTTGCTCTCATTTCAGTTTAAAAAATCCTGCAAACAAGTGTCTCAAATTTAACTATGGCGAGCAGTAAACGTAAAACGTTCTCCATTGATGATAATATGGGCCTAATCAGAAAAATTGAAAATTGATGCAATCAAGCTGATATTTGCAGGGAATATAAANTCATCTGTTGGCTAAGGTCAAGCCCGAGGTCACTTACTGGGCAACTCGTTAAGGGTGGAGGCTGCTTAAGTGGTGACTTTCGGGCGTATAACTATTGGTTAGCATCGGTGTTAAATAGCGGATTTGTGGCAGCACTAATTTGTTATTTGCATCCCCTTAGTTGGACTCCGTGGTGGGTGGTGCGGCTGGTAGCTGAAAGTTGATTTAATTTTCTATGGCTGAAAATGAAGTGGTGGTCCTTTCCGCACACCAATACAAAAACAGTGGAACACCTTTAGTACCATTTGAACACGCTCAGTATTTCTTGATATCTTTGACAAATCCCACAGTACCTAATACGTCATTTAGCAAAGTTTCTCCATTTTTGATACATAAGGCTCTTCTTTCTCTTCTAGGATAAGTAGCCTCGGTTAAAAAATTACGTTCAGGTGACTTGTTAGTTCAAGCCTCGTCCGAGAAACAAGCTACTACTCTGTCTACTTGTACAAACATATGCTCGTTCTCTGTTAATATTACTCCTCATAAAACTTTAAACAGCTCTCGAGGCGTTATATCACAGACCGAATTTATCAATGATACCAAAGAAAATATTGTAGAGGAATTGCGTGACCAACACGTTATTGCTGTTCGAAGAATAAAGATTCGTCGAGATGGTCAACTTATCCTGACAAAATATCTCATTCTTACCTTTGCTTCTCCAAACTTACCATCTGCCGTCAAGCCTGGTATAACTGCCCGGTTAGACCATATGTGCCAAATCCTTTGAGATGCTTCCAATCAGTGCCGTTCCTGGGGTGGCGAACGCCTGCGTGCAAGAATAATTTTGTGCGCCCCTATATACTATGCTTAAATTTTGATGATAAGGCCAATTTTCATAATCATTTTTAATTTGAGGTTTAAACTGAATATTTTCCTTATAGACTAAAGTCACTTTAGTGTAAGTGTTTGATTATGAAAATGGGCGTAATAAAATAAAACAACGAAAAAATATGACAAAAAATTTATTTTCGACATCAAATAAAATAGACTATTAACGTACAATATAGGTCATAAATAAAACACGTCCATTCGGAAATTAACAAAAAATCTAATATAACTCAATTCACTCAACTGAGTGAATTGAGTTAAAACTCTCAAACGGCGCTCAACGCAAACAAATCCGTTAACTTGAAAATGTGCAAGATCTGTCTAATACCTAAGTACCTAATTATCAAATAACAAGGTAGGTTTTGAACATAACACGTCTTGCTTTTGCAGATGCAAGCTCATTGATCATTTCATTGTGATCGATGGCTTCACATATTTTATTTTCGATTGAAATAACAGCTAAATCTGAAAGCCTTTCCTGGCACATCGAAGTTCTCAAATAAGATTTTATAAGTTTTAGCTTTGAAAAACTCCTTTCGCCAGACGCAACAGAAATCGGCAGCGTCAAAAATATCCTTAATGCTATAGACAGGTTTGGAAACAAAGACTGCAAATTTTTCTTGGT